AGCGTGCTCCTGCAGCTCCGGCTGGCAAATCGCAACTTTTAAGTACAGACGTAGTACGCGGAGCGTGCTCCTGCAGCTCCGGCTGGCAAATCGCAACTTTTAAGTACAGACGTAGTATGCGGAGCGTGCTCCCGCAGCTCCGGCTGGAAAATCGCAATTTTTAAGTACAAATATAGTACGCGGAGCACATTCCCGCAGTTCCGGCTGGAAAATCGCAACTTTTAAGTACAAACGTAGTACGCGGAGCAACTTTTGCAGTGCGCGTCAACGTAGTGGTCACCCTTTGTGGCCGGGAGATGACCGTCCGGGGCGCTCCGCAGGATTGGCGCCAATACTTCGCAGACTTTGGCGCTCGTCATCTCCAAGGACACCTAGAGGACTGGACTGTAAAGCAGCCGCGCAACAGCGCGGACCAGCTCCGGCAGTGTGCTCTGGACTGCTTCACGCATTGGAAGCACCTCTGTTGCCAGCTTTGGAGGTTGGCCAAACTTCACGTCTGCGAAAAGAAAGACATGCAAGTCTTGTTCCATTGCTTTGGCGGCATCAACCGCAGCGCTGGCGCGCTCTGCGCGTGGCTCATTGTAGCCTACGGCCTTTCTGCTGCGAGCGCAATTGATCTCTTGCTCGAGAAGCGCCCTTTTTTTTCGTCCATGGCGTCATCGGAGATACGTGCTGTGGGCTCTGTACGCGGTGGAGCAAAGTCGAACTTCTTGGCGGTTAGACTTCGGCGACTGCAAGGACGACCTTGGCGAGCGTGATCTTTGTGACTCCTCCGGTCAGCATAATTACCTCGTGAGTGAGTAGAGACTGAGCGCGCAGGTAGTGATGCACGGCTTGTTGCTGAGTGCAACGAGCAGGCGAATGTTTTCGAAGCTCTGTTGTCTCAGTGGCAGACTGTCTGCAAGTGCGTGACACCCGCCTCGCACGCGACGAGCAACAACAATGCGAGCGAGTCACGAGCGCTCTAGGCTTTTGCTTCTTGCTTGTGCGCAGGCGGAAAACTCCGGCGCGACGCACGCTCGAGTCAAAGTTTGCCACGCGCAGCCTCACGCGCAGCATCATATGCCACAGCATGCGCAGCATCGCGCGCAGCGTCACGCACCGTGCCACGCACACCTTGGCGCGCAGCATGCAGACGAGTGGCCCGGAAGCAACATAGGCGACAGGCGAAGTAATTCTCGAAAAGTTGGTAAGAGAAGCTGCCAGACAACATCAGCACATTGAGCAACCTGCGTGACACGCTTGAGCGCTTGCACTGACTCCACGTTTTGCTCTTCGAGGGAAGCCGAGTGAAGCCGGACAACATCAGCAGATTGAACAACTCACATCAGCAGCTTGAGCATTTGTGCTCATTGCACGATGTTGCACTTGAGTGGAGCCGAGGGAAGCCGAGTGAAGCCGGACAACATCAGCAGATTGAACAACCTACATGACACGCTTGAGCATTTGTGCTGCTTGCACGCTGTTGCACTTGAGTGAAGCCGAGGGAAGCCAAGGGAAGCCGAGTGAAGCCGGACAACATCAGCAGATTGAGCAACCTACATGACACGCTTGTGCGTTTGCATTGAGACCTCGTTATGTAAGTTTCCTGCGCTCCGGTCTCGCTCCGCCCAGGTGGTGGTGGTTTCTCCACGGTGCCTCAGGTGTTGGTTCTCCCCCGCCTCGCCTTCCGCGCCACGCGCCTGGTGGTTGGTTCAAGCTGGCGCGGAGCAATTCTCGCCCTTTGCCGCGTAGAGTTAGCTGCGGAGCAGTTCCTATGTTCCGGCTTGACGCGCGGCGGGGCTCTCAAGCACCTGGGCATGTGGCGCGTGTGATTTATTACTGTGTTATGTTTTAGTCTTGTTTTGTCACACCCACGTCCTGCGCAGCATCGCGCGCAGCATCACACACCGCCGCCACGCACAGCTTCGCGCGCAGCATGCAGCCGCCGTATCTTTTAACATGCGCTTCGCGATCTTCCTCGATGCTGCCACTTTGAAAACATCAGCACATTGAGCAGCCTGCGTGACATGCTTGAGCGCTTAGTGTGGACTCCACGTTTGCCTGTCGAGTGAAGCCGAGGGAAGCCGAGTGAAGCCAGACAACATCAGCAGATTGAACAACCTACATAACATGCTTGAGCAGTTGTGCTGCCTGCACGCTGTTGCACTCGAGTGAAGCCAAGGGAAGCCGAGTGAAGCCGGACAACATCAGCAGATTGAACAACCTCCGTGCCACACTTCTGCATTTGCATTTGTAAGTTGCCTGCATGTCCAGGAGCTTCGCTCCAGTTTCGCTTCGCCCAGGTGGTGGTGGTTTCTCCACGGTGCCTCAGGTGTTGGTTCTCCCCCGCCTCGCCTTCCGCACCACGCGCCTGGTGGTTGGTTCAAGCTAGCGCTAATCAACATCGCGGTAGTTTGCTTGCTGCCTGTTTGTTCATGTTGGAGCCGCCCGAAGCATGGTATGCATCATCGAGATCCACATGCCGAGCCACTCGATCTACACGCGCGACATGATGGTGGCCAAGATCGCGATGAGCAGGGAGAACCTGCACTGAGAAGTGCATGAAATTCCTCAACTTTTAGTACCATATTCGAGCTACTGACAAAAAGCGGAATCTGTCTGTGTGCAGCTTGTCGCGACTAGACTACTTGATCGCTAACAACTAACTTGCCTCCATGCTTCCGGGCCACTCGTCCTCTAGTTTTAGAATTGCGGCAGAACTTGTTTTCAGTTTTTTCTACCCCCCGATTTGCGGCGGAAATCGGCGGGAATGCGGCGGAAATCGGCGGGAATGCGGCGGAAATTCCCGGAAAGCAAACAGTGTTGCGGCGTTTCTCTTTGTTTGCGGCTGATTTTCTGGAATGCGGCGGGAATTTCCGCCGCAATGCGTTGCGGCAGAAATTTCCGCCGCAGGAAGTTCTAGGTATGCATCTGCCCTGTCCTGCAAAATGGCCCACGCCTCCCGTTTTTTCTTCGGCATCTTTCGCCAACAGTTTGCAAACCATTCGCCAACGTCCTGGCCTCGAGCACGCATGGGTCAGGGCAAAGTCTGAAAGCATGGCCACTCTGGGCAGATTGCTCTATCTCCGAACTGGGTGTGTCTCTTTTTCCGGGGGGACCCCCCCGAACCCCGAAAGGGGATCTGACTGGAAACAAGGGTCAGGGATCCTCATAGGTCATTGGCCCTCACTCCTTGGTCCTTCGGCTCAGGCGGTTGAAGAACATTTCTCACCTGAAGCAAACAAGTTGACTCTAAAGGTCTGAATCATCACGACGGTGTGGGTAGGGTAAAGCCAATTATAGTCACGGTTACAGAACAGTACTTATTTCGGCCCTTGTATCACCGGCCCCATCTAAAACTGAACTTGGGGTGCCTGCTTCCCGTTCCTCTTCATGCAATTTACACGTTAAGCAGGTCTTGGTTTGGTGACATGCGGCCTGCTCTTTTGTTGAAAACAAACAACTGGTTCTCCGTGGTACATATCGCCTCTCGTCGGTCGGCATACCATAAAGTGAACACTTGGAGCAGGGTCTGGGCTTTGTGTCCGTACTATTTGGACCCCCACAATGGGTTAGCTTCTTGTTTGCCTCTTTTCTGGGGAGCACCCGCTTTCAAGCTACAGCTAAGGTGAAACCAAAGAAACTGGCCTGTCTGGGGGTTCAGTTTCACAAAAATACCCGGCACCAAATGGTGTGTCAATTGCGTGCTCAAGGGCGTCGGCGGGTCACGTGGCCGCAGGGGTCTCAAAAAATGGGTGGCTGTTAGCCGTGTGGTGAACTTCAGCCTCAGCAAAGGCAACAGCTCTCAGGAATGAAGCAAACTAAACATGTGATTGTTCCATTATAATTTTTAACACCAGAACCATGACCTTTTTAATGGAAAAAACTCTGCGGTTTCCGGCCTCTAAGCTGAAGCCACCGTTTGGCGCGCTTCCGTGTTGCCAAGCCAAGTTTTCGGCTTGCTAAAGCTGCGCGGATGCTCACGCTGTACAAGCGAGTCGGCATGTGGAGCATGCGCCGCTGCGGTGTGACACATTTTGCCGAGAAAGCCATCTCCAAATTTGTGTTTGAGAGTGGTTTCCCTGGCAACACAAAAGATGCCTGCCTATAGCTTTGTTGGTTGACCTCAAATGGAAAGCAAAACCCAGGAAAGAGGAGCGGGTGCCACTGGAATGGGGTCTTTGACCACTCAACAGGCTGATCCAAGAGAAAACGAGTTGAGCGGACGACAAAAGCACACCGCTGCGACGGTAAACATCGCTTCGCAATGCCTGGACTTGAAATTTTCGTCCCTCGGACGCCTGAAAACTTTTCCCCTGGCGCGCTGATTGCAGCGAGCGGAACGGGTGTCGAGAGCAACTGGGACCTGCGACGAACATGACGAACAGACAAATCTCGGCGCTGTGGGAACGTCGCTGTCCCTTGCTCCCACAAATCGAAGCTCCTCATCGGGGAGGAAAAATCGCAAAAGCTGCATACAGGAAGGCGGAATCTCAACGTCGGAGGCTGAGACGAGAACAGCTGACTGCCAAAGCATACTGCGTTCTTCTCGCGAACAAAAACAGGTAGGCTGCTACCACCCGCTTGCAAGAAAAAAAAATGCAAGCTTGCAGGGCTCTGCAGCAGGAATTCCAGCCTGCAAAGAGGTTCACCCTGCGATGCTTCAAATTTGAGACTTGCATGTGATGTGGTGGGACTCAGGTGGGTGAAAGGCTGCAATTCCGGTCATCCAGCTTGCGATGCCAACAGGGGAGTCAGCAAGATTTGAAGGGGGTTCATGATGACAGAGTCTTCTTCAGTCCATTTGCGCAAGCTCAGTGAGAAGCCTGCTAAAGCTCCCCTTCCTTGCAACAGGAGTGGGTTCCCAGCCAGAAACAAAAACCATGTGGCTCTGATTACAAGTCCGATATTTCTCCGAAGTCGACGCCAGGCTGACCCATTCCAATGCCGCCCTCCGGCAGAATGGAAAACTGAGGGCTTCAAACACAAAAAGATCACCGCTCTCACCGATCGGGTGATCACTGTTCAGGCTCGCTGACCTTGCGAGGGCAGAGCATAGCCAGGCATAGCCAGGTAAACATTCGATCTGTGATTCACCAACCTGGAAAAGAACCCACAGGCAAAAGGACCAATGGGTGAGCTCGCCTAATATGCGGAACTCAAAGGATTCGCCCGGAAAAGTTGAACTTTGAGCTGGCTGCATGGGAAGAGCATACCTGCACTGATTGAAAGCAGATGGCCCAGTTCCCGGTAGATATGGGTAAGCTCGGGGCATGACGAAGGCAAAATGGGTGGAGTCTCATGGTGCCAGCTCCTTTTCACATAGCCATGGGTCAAAACCTATAAATCCTACCCCCAGTCAATCCAACCACTAAAATAGGAAGCCTAAAATGGGTGGTGAGTTCACCCATCCCAACCAAAATGGGATCAAACATTCAACGGCTTTGGCCACCACAGCCACAGGGAGCTGAAGGTCCCATCCCAAAAAACGGCTGATTTTCGCTTGGCTGAGTCCACTGAACTGTGCCGCGTGGTGGGTGTCTTCACGAGGCATTTTCGCTTTTTTTTTTCCCCTTTTTTTTCCGAAGGCAGAAGGACACCTGCGACATGCCCCAAGGCTCCTGGGTTCTCAAAATATAGGAGATGGAACCCCCAAAAACGGTTGTTTCCTGTTGGCGTCCTTCTAAAACCAAGGAACAAAGAGTACCCTTTCAAAATTATATTGACCTCGGATTAGATAAACCCTGTTTATTAATGGTGTTCCCCTCAAGTGATAAATTGTCAACTAAAACCAGGTTGACACCCCCTTAGTAACAAAGAGGGGTTTATTAATGGGTCGACAGTAGGCAACTTTCGGCATTACCCCCCACGTCCAGCGTTTCGCGGCGCCGAGGTGCATCGTCATCGGAGATGCTTTCCAGGATTCCGTCCTCGGTTCGAGGCGGGACCGTGAACCATGGCTGTTTGCTGGGCCCGGTCTCCTTCTTTGGAACCGAATTCCCAGTAAAGGGGCCTACCTTGATAACAAGTGCAGGGGATTTTCGTAATTGGGGGCAACCTTAATCAGGCGTCTTGCCTTGTTTTAGAGTTTGGGCGAGAATTCGTTTCTTGGAGGGTGCCTTCTCATTTTGGAAAAAGCTTGGGAAGGAAATCCATGTGCTGCTCTGATATCTAGTGGGGGTTGTTGGATGTTTGGGGAAGATGCCATTTGTTTCGATCTGATCTGGGAGGCCTGCTTTGGGAGTTTGGGGGAGGGGATCCATGTAGTGTTCCGGTCTTTGGACCACTTGGTTGCTGTTGATCCCCTAGCCAAAGTTTCACTTTGTGGGGGTTTAGCGGAAAACCCCTTGATTTCCAAAAAAGTTAAAGTCTAAAGATCCAACCCAATAGCAGTCAAGACCAAGCCGGGGCTCCTTTGTTGGACGATGTGCGGAGTTGTTTCCGATTGTGAGAGCAGGGAAGCGACTTCTTTCCTTTTAAAAGGTTTAAGTGATGGTGGCCTTGAGAGATCCAGTACCGCTGTTGTTCTGGCCAAAGGGAGGAAATCCATTTTGTCTTTTGCGACAGGCGGTCTTAGGAGAACGGCTTTGGGCTTCATGAGCAGGAGGGCCCGCGGCCCATGTGCGGTTCGGGAAGGCAGAAGGATACCAACCAGCTGAGCAGCGCAGCAAACAACTTCGACAATTGGTACTGCCAAAGCTCTGAGTGCGGCTTTTATTAGCCTGACTACAAGCCCCCCTGAAACCAACAGAACCACTGGAATGGCCCTTTTGGGTTTTTGCGGCCGTAAAGGGTTGGCAAAAGCAAGGGTCATAATACGTGCAGAAACACATGCAGCCAAAGACAAAAGACATTTGAAGAGTCCTGAACGATGTCTGCCCCAAGGGTCCAACCAACCAGTGGACAGTCAGTGCACAGCTAGTGACCGTATCTAAAACCAGCTCAGAGACTACAGAAAATGGTCAGGGCCGTCAGGGAGAGCTGTAGCGGCGCTACTTCTGATCATTTAGTTCCCTCCCCTTTTGGCTGAAGGAGAGTCGAACGTTTAACATCGCACTTCCCGCCACATTGTAATGTTAATCACACAAAACAGGGGCCAACTTATACTTTCCTGTCTACATCACCCCGCTACAGGGAAGCTTACTTTCAAGAAATGTGTCAAAACTGCCCTTCAAGGAGAAATGGCCATGAGCAAAGAGTCAAAGGGTTTGGTTACAGGAACATCTACAGGACATGGCCCCAAAACACCCTGGTTTATAGAATTTAGTGCAACCCAACCCTTTGAACGAGGGAGTGTCGCAAAAAGTTCCCTTGGGCAGCTGCGGGCACCAGTGGAAGTTCAGCGCTTGGAAGCTGACCGTTAGACGGCCCCGAGCACTTGGGAAGAGCATTCCTCATGCACCCACCTTCGTCTCCAGGTCCGGCGCGAGCATTTTGACGTGAGGAGCCATACTTCCATGTGCTTAAGTAACCTCAAAACTCCCAGTGGTGAAAAGAATCTCCCTTAACAACCCACAGGGGAAAATACACATATTCTCAAGCAAATGGAAGCATAGCATGCTGACCAGGGGCCTCCGAGCTCAACTTCTCTGAGAAGATCTGTGCCCCGGTTTCAAAGAATAACCACAACGGAGTCTGCCAGACCATCCCGCAACCCCATGTGAGCAGCACCGCAAGCCTATTAATACTATTAATTGTTGGTCTTACTAAGACGCATATAAAGCATTATTTGGGTGTGGGTCAAAATTAAACCACCAGGGACCGCCGGCTTTAGTCCTTGGTTTCATCTACCAGGGTTCCATTTTGGGTACCTGTGTTTGACCCACAGCCATTTAGGCGTCCATGAAAGCAGTAGAGCCTCCTAGGGCCCTACTCAAGGGCTTTCACCCAGGAGTCCGCACCACTTCCGAGGTCGTAGTCTCGGTTCCGCTGCCGAAGACAGACTGGAGATAGCGCGGAAGAGGCTGTGGAGTCCGGGCAAACCCCTTCAGTTCAAAGTACCTGGACCCTCAGACTACCCCAAAAACTGCAGACTGCGATGTTCCATGTTCAAAGGTAGTTACCCTCACTTGAGGAGCGGGTGAACGAAAGCTAGCAGTTGTTGCATGAGATGGGTCGGTGACAGAGTGGATTCAGAGGTAGCTTGTGTACAACGAGAGGCCCGGCAAGATTCGTAGGATGCGACACGCAAACGCACATGGTAGCGTGGCAAACCTTGAAAAATGAAAACAACGAGAGGCGTCAGAAGCTGTCTTAAAGCACCTCTGGGTTCTGCATGCTGCGTGTGCAAAGATTCTTGCGAGGTGGTTTACTGAGAAGACTGAGGTCTCAAATGAACAAGCTGAATCGGTGGAACATGTAAAAGTTCAGAACACCAAGTCCAAAACGGGCAAACCGAGACTGCTGAAACTCTGAGCCACTGCCCGGGGGGAGGGGTGGACCAAGGAGGAATCGAGCCTGGGACGGGGGGGGGGGAGGGGGGGGGGGGTCTAAATGATTGATTGTTTTCAATCTTTTCGGCTCAAATAATTGAAAAAATCAATCTTTCGGCAGTTGAGCCCCTTCCTTGCTTACGCAAGGAGAAACTTCAGCTAGCTAAAGCTAGCTTTCGTGAAAAATAAACATCGCCCATCATTTTGGGGGGTTTTGCAGTTTTCAGGGTAGCTTGAGGATGGTACGACCCACCCAACCCCACCAAAAACAAGAAAAGAAGACTGTACGGGATTCCCAAGTCACTCCGTACCCTCAAGGCCAAAGTCGGGTCCCCCCTCAAGGGAGCCGATGCGCTCGTTGCACAAGAAGCTTCTGGTCCCCAACAATTCGCATGCAACGTAACTCGGCTGCTTTCTGCTCCCCTACTAAACGTTTAAAGTTTAACTTTTGGTGGTTTAATGGCAAACCCATCAGTTGGCAAAAAGTTAAAGTCCTAACATCCAAGCAGAATGCACCAAAGGTAAAGTGTTGTTTCTACTTCTTAGAGCCTCAGGTGGCGGTCGTTTCAATGGAAACCACCCGTAGATTGATCAACTTTGGAAAAAATCCAGTGACCCCTGTCCACGCGGGATACAAAAACAGGCCGATGCAAATGAATCAAATCATTGGGCTGCCAATGTTCGGAGCTGAGCAGGTCATATTCCAATCAAAAACACGTCAAGCGCTTGCGACTGGATCCCTCCCCCAAAAACATATTAAGGTGCCTGTGAGCTCTGGACGAAACCTCCAGCTTCCTCAAGAGAACATGTCCAATTGAGTTGTGCCTTTGCCCTTTGTGAGAATTTGTGTTGTCCTCCCATTTCCTCAGGAAACAGATGTCGGTGGCTCATGACATGCAAACATGCTTGGCGTGATATGTATGTTTGTATGTGTATATACATATATATATATATATATGTATTATTATTATAGATCATAGATACGATGCCTGGCCGCGATCGTCTCCTGAGGAGACCTGGGAGGAGAACCAGACCACCCCAGCAGCGACTTTCAGGTTCTCAACAACTCCATCGCTTCAAGCCATCCCGGGCTTGAGGGCATCCCCAACCCTCCGCACAATGTGCGAAACAGACAAGGAGTGGTTCCCCTCTCGTGAGGTGGCAATGATTTTGCCGAGGGGAACTCAGGGTTTTAAGCTTGGCCCTCCCTGGATCCCAAGAGTAAGCCGACCCAAAAGCACACTGGTCCCTTTGGGGAACCTTCTTTAGAACTGCTAAGTAAAGGGCCTTCATCATCTTCGTAGCTCCAAAGCAGCGCCCCAAAACCCATGGGCTCTGGGTTCTACTATGGTTGTAAAGGTCGATGTTGGACTTTTAATCCTACTAAGATGCTTGTAAAGGTTGAGAAAAAAAAAGAAGAAGAACAACAAAAAACGTCGTGGACCTGCGGAGGTTTCCTCCTGCTCACTACATAGGGGTTGTCGCCCCACCAGTGCCTGGACCCGTGTCAGCTTGGCACTTGCACGTATCAGTTAGAAAAAAGAAGAAAAAAAACAATCAAAGCAGGTAGAACCGGACCGATTCTGGGCCCTCATGCGCAAGCTTCCCATCCGTATTTGACGGGTGCCTCATCTCCGTAGATGTCCGCCGCCTCGGCGGCCGCGCCGACGGCCACGGAGAGGAGCTGTCCTCGGTCGGATGTGCAGTGGCATTGACGACCGCCCTGCTGGGCTGGCTGTTTTTTTTTTTTTTCGGATCACCTGAAGAGTCTCCATACATCAGAACCTAGAAAACTATACAATTTACAGCAGTATCTACTAGGCTGTTTTCGGATCCCCAGCGAAAAGTGACTCACTTTTAGTCGGGTTTTAGTGGAAACTACCCTAAAAAGCAAAAACACAACTAAGGGGATGGCTGGGAACCACCAAGTTTAGATCCCTTTGGGTTGGCAAGGGAACCAAACGGAAGACAGCTCCAAATCCTGATTTGACCGGGGTGATTGTTTCGCGGGTCTTTTGTTGCGAAACATTTTGAAACCTGAGTCTTTTGGGGGTTTGAAGAAATCCGAAGCCAAAAGGCAAGCAGATCCTGTCCTTTGTTCTTTTAGCTCAAGGGTGGCTCTCTTGGTTGCCGGTACTAGGGGGAAGCCAAAGGGAAGAAACCTGTTCAAATTATAACCCGAGAATACATGGGTTGTCTCAGCGGAGAACCCGCTAAGATCACTCTGATGGAGGGTATCGCCTGGTCGTTCAGTGTAGGGCAACAAGGAAAACCGGCACATCAACCGCAGCTTACCATGTTTTGCCGTTGGATCTGCTTGGTTCCCTTTAATTTGGAATACCCAAGGAGCTACTTTCACTCCGCTACACCCCCAAACCATCCTCCCACCCATAGCCCCTGTGAAGCCCTGAACTCATTTCAACCGCTTGAACCCCCCCGCCCTTTTAGGAGGGCATCTCTCACTTTATCGGGAACACGCCAGGTGAGAAACAAAGTTGCCCTTTGGCACTGCAAGACGTCGCCCGGATTCTAAGGCTGCGGCGTACTCGTGAAGAGGCGAACTGCATGGCGCGGATGTCCTCACTTCTCAGCCCGGCTGAGAGAAGCCCCTCGTCAGGCGTCCATTTACTCAAGCCCACTGGGAAAACAAAAACATGTCCAGTAGTGATAGATTCCCTTTAAAACCAACATAGGAAAATAAAACATACTCTTAAGCAAACGGAGGCAGCAACCCTTGGTGAGTTGGGTGATTGTATGCCCTGGTTCTCGTGGGTAAATGGGAATTGGACCTTGGGGTTTGCCTTTCGACCCCTTGGGCGTGAAGGTCAAACAGATCAAGCGCCGCCCTGACCCGAAAGCAGTCCAAGTTCCTCATATTTGCGATCAGACAATGTACGTCACGACCATAGGTGTCCTTTTTGGGAAAATATGGCCCTGGTAGTTGATTGAACCACAAGGTAAACCAGGGCCCTCTATTTTTCGACCAAATCAACCAAAAAGGACACCTATGGTCACGACATTTTTCTGCAAGCCCGATCTGCAAATATGGGGCTTGGAAAATGTTTTGGCTTGAGGAGCCTGGGAAGAACATGCGCAGGGACTGCGTCGCCAATTGCGGGGGAATGGCCGGCAAACAAACAAACAAACAAACAAACAAACAAACAAACAACCAAACAACCAAACAACCAACCAACCAAACAGAACAAACAGAACAAACAGAACAAACAGCCAAAAACAAACACACAAACAAACAAACAAACAAGCAAGCAAGCAAGCAAACAAACAAACAAACAAACAAACAAACAAACAAACAAACAGCCAACCAACCAGACAGACAGACAGACAAACAGAAAGGCAGACAAACAAATACACAAACAAGTGAAACAAACAAACAAACAAACAAACAAACAAACAAACAAACAAACAGAACAAAACAAAACAAAACAAACAAACAAACAACTAAGCCAGCAAACAAACAAGCAAAACATTCAAGACACAAAAAAGAACAAAAAAGAAGGCACAAACAAACCGCGAAAGCGAACCAAACAAGACAGTTCATCACTTCGCATCGGTGCGATTGGCCGCCACCGCTGCTTCCGAAAGCGAACTACAAAGCTAAACACTGACACACCAAGTTCAGTGGCCAAAAACGGTGTGCTGGGGAGAAAGTAGATGGCACAATTCCGTTTACATGACATCTGCTGTCACCCAACTGTAAACTATCGGTGCCTTCAATGGTGCTAACTCGGGAACCCACAGAACTCCCAAGCTCCCAAGCGCTTGCGATGTGCCGATCTTTGATGCGTCCTTCTGCACCGCAAAGAGAACTAGCTCGATGCTGTCTTTCAGAGAGCCCGACACGAATTGCAGGGCCTCCGCGCAAGTTGCTCCGATGAGGACTCTGATTCAGAGTGCAGCGCAAGTGTCAAAAGTACAACTTCCTTGGCATTGCTCCCACCTACCTCAGCTTGGGCCCCACCCAAAATCGCAAGCTTAACCGTGGTCCAGATTTGAAGCACCGCAAATGTATTGTTCGCTTCAAAAAAAACAACGGAAATGGCACCGGTTTACAACAAGGCCGGCAATATGGCACGTATTCGCTGCACTCGGTGCATGGAGCAATGCCCAAGATTGCCAACGAGCTCTTGGCGTAAACGGCGACCAAAATTTAACAAAAAGACTTCAATGTCGGAGGGCTTGCCGTGCAAAACAAATCGACAAGCTCCTGCAACACGGGAGGCTTCATCCTTTCAACGAGCCGCACATGAAGAGCAGTTCTGTGGAGTTGCCAGGGAGTGCGCGGTCAAAACTCTTCAGTGATTTTGTGTTGCCAACATTGGCCAACATGTTCATGCTCCTGTGGAAAACTTACAAGTTGTTCTTGCTTTCCTCAAGAAATGCGAGTCCCCTCCATTGCACAGAGTAGACAAGCCTATAAAGCCAACGCGCATGAGTTACACGGATATCAGGTTTGGCCACTGTTTTTTGGCTAGGGCTTTCAGCCAACCCCAGAAGTTTGTGATGGAACCAAAAACCAGTACTACGTACAATGCACCTACCTGAATTCAGGAACCCCTCAGTAAGACACCTTCACCGTGGGTAAGCTTAATTTACCCTCACTCTCCAAACCCTCGTCCAGATTTGCACGCGGCTCTGAGCCCCAAAAGTCAGTTGCATTGCTAGCGCACTGGGTCTTGCTCCCGAGGGAGCCAACAGAACACCAAAAAAATTAGGGGACCACCATGTTGAGATGTCCAGATTTGAGGCGGCCCTCTCACCCACAAAGCTGAGGAAGCGGCCAAGCCACATTGCATGACAGCTGCCACTGCAATTGCCCAACCTGAAGTTCGGGATTGAAGGCTTGAATCTTAGATGTACATGGGTCCTCCCTATCAATAGGACCGGTTTATTTATCTGGGTTCAACATTCGTCTCCAACCTCGAGTTCGTCCGTCAAGCTGAGGGCGAAAAGGGGGAACAAGCCTTCACAATCGAGTTGAGGGAATCAATAGCCTGATCACACAACGAAGGCAGAGCAAGGACAATCAGAAGGCAAATCATGCCTCACAAGTACAACCAGCAACTACTGGACTGCGTACACACAGGTCCATGGAAGACACCAGCATCAGCACTGCCTACACCAACTCTCACCACACCAGTGACACTGCCAGCAGCAGTCAAAGCACCTACATCACAGAAAGATGCAACAACAACAAGCACAGCATCAGAAGGCAAGAGACAAAGCACAACACAGTCGAGTGATCAACAACCAAAACAGAAGAGGACAGCAGATTCAACATCACCAATGGCTACATCACCAACACATCAGAAGCGACCAGCATTGCCTGCACCACAAGGGGAAGACAGCTCTCAAAACCACGAGTTTGTGTAAAAAACAGCCCAAAAAACACTGCAAAAACAGGGCTTTGGCTGGGCGTCCCGCTCTCTAAAGTAAGGGGACAACTAAAATGGTGGATTTCAAGTGGATCTGCTTTGACCCTTTTAACCATGGGGTACCCGCAAGAAACACCACACACCCACGCCATCCCAAGGAAGCTCACCTGGAAAATCGAAACCAGATTCTAGTAAGTTGCCCTACCGCGGAAAGATAGGAACCCCTCCCCCCAATTTATCCCTGAAAGTGCGATGATCGGATAAACCAAGCCGAGCAGCGATTGCATGGGCTTGGTTTGGCATGCTCTAAGGCCAATCCTCAGCCAGCTGAGAAAAAAGGCCAGGCTCTGGACATTGTACCGCAGGAGGCAGGTGTCAAAATAGGCGGACCTCAAAATAATCGTGGCTGCCTCTAATTAAACCAAACAGAAACCCTCAAAAACAAAGCGCTCAGGGAGAAAGCTTCTGAACGGTTATGAACTTGCAATGGTTAATCAAGTGCAGACTCCTGCAGGCCAACTAGGTTGCCCTCGACGAGCAAAAACAACTCCCCGCAAACACAAGTATCCATAGAAACAACCGGGCTTCCCCTGTCGCGCACGAAGGAGACACAGCATCTTGTTTGCGATGCCTGCATGTACCACCACATAACCAAGCAACACCCGATCTATATAAGGGAACCACTGGGTTACCGAGGGAAACCACCCTCTTATATAGCAAGCAAGGAAAGCGATCCTGGCAACCTGCCGTGATAGGGCCCTTCCGGTACACCTGAGCAGGCTGAACGTATGAACCCGTCTATGTATATATAAATACATAGTACCCAATTTGGTGTTCCCAAACCTGTTGTGTTGTTTACGTTTCTGGGGGGATGCTGGGTCGGCCTTTCCCAAATTTTCCCAACAGACCACCCGTTATATTGTCCGTTGATCATATATGAACCCCTTGCTTTTGAGGTGTCGTGTTTGTTTGCTTGTTTGTGTTTGCTTTTTGAGGTACCCTTTTTGGGGTGGATCCTGCAAGGACATGCAAATGAAAAGCCGCCACTTGTGGGGTCCCTTGTTTTAACACGCAGAAAATCAAGCAACAATCAGTCTTTGATTTCAGGGATCGCGTCATGGAGGGTCCTCCCTACACAATTAAGCCCAACTTACCAAACCTGGCAGAGGGGGTGCAACTACGAAAAGTGATATCCGGATTGCCTCTATGGGACTGTTCAAATCCACCGGTTTGCCGCTTGGTTGATGTCGTCTCTTTACACAATGAGCCACCCTGGTGCCCATGAGTTTCCCCAAGCTTTTAGTTCTTGATGTGAGCTCGGGCTCGTGGGCCCAGCGGGACCCATCACAAATTCAAGCCACGTGGCTTTTGTTTTGCTGAGCAGTCGCAAGGACGGAGAATGATCAAATGGATCAATGACCAACCGTCAGATCACGGCACATCCCTTTGTCAAGCTGGCTTTGGGGCTCTCAGACTTCAAGCCCTGCGTAGCTATAGAAATAAGACACCTTACTGGTCAAATGTCAAGGACTGGGATTCACCATGAAGCAATTGGCTCATCACTGGGAAATTCTGAAGGTTGCCTACATTCCCTATTGCGGATTTAAACATCCCTTGTGTGCCCATGAAGTGAGTTTCCTTTTGGGGTGATACATAATCATATAGCAACATATATATATATATATGTATATATATATATATATGTACACACATGTGTATATATATATATATATATGTATTCCATGGAACCGTGATCCCGAAGCAACCCTCCAACAGGGAGCAGCGGCCGTTCTGCATCACGGCCGCAAGGATGATGCCATCCTGACGCATGGATTCCCGGATGACGGATCCCAGGGGCTCATCGGATCCCATTTCCGCTCGACTTGTTATTTTCTTTGGGGAAAGCCAAAAGGAAACCAGGCAAAGGGATCCATTTTAGAGACAAACACAATAAATATGTATATATACACATAATATGTCTTTATTTTAGATATACAATACAAATAATATATATATATATATATGTGCTATGTAATTATTGGGAACCGTGACCACACAAAGGAAACGTCTGTCTATCTTTAGGCATCCTGGAAAAAAACCTTCTTCGGGATTTAGCTTTTGGGATCCATCTTAGATCCATCTTTGCATCTTTAGTCAGCTTCTTTCCAATTGGTTTGGAGCCCGGTTTGGTGGTTAGGGAGTGGTCTCCCATGTATCTACCAGAACCAGGGTTCAAGTTCAAATCCAAACCACCAATCCATTTTCACAAAGACCCAGACAAAAAGAAACAGTAGGGTTGACCCTGCCTTGTTCAAACAGCGTGTGAAAAGCGCCCACCAATTGAAGCATCCAGGTGAATTCACCGAACGGGGGATCCCCGTACAAGGAAGACTCTCAGTGGCTCAGTCACCGTAGACCCTTTCTTGGGCCCTTTTGATCAACCCGCCAAACGAAAGGAAACCCGTGGCTCGGTGTCACCGAACTGGTCTCGGCAATTCGTGCCCGAGAGCTCGCGACTCAACTTGCCGTCAGATCCCGAGCGTCCCCGCATCCGACCGCATTGATCTGGAGGCCAATCCTGGGCGAATCCACCCGACGTGTTGATTTGAGGAACCGCCCACTTGGTGCTGTATGGTATGTGCATGTGTTTTTGTTGTTTGAGGGCACTCCGACCGCACGCCAAAGAGTACCAGGCAACAGGGGTTTTATGGGTGCGCCTTTATTGAGGGTACCCATTTTGTGTTGGTCTGAAATGGGGTTCAAAGGGGGCACACAGCCCATTCTTTTGGGGGAGGGGAGGTGGACCCTTTTGTTTGCTGTGATTTCGAAGGGAGCTTCAAAGGGAAGCACAAAGTGGAGGGGCAGGGTTCTCTGTTTGAGGGGCACATTCATATTTCTTTGAGGAAGACCAAACGCACAACCAAACACTTGCAGGGGCAAACTGATGGACAACACTCTGCACCGGCTCCTCAGTTTCGAAGTAACCGAGATCCACCGGACAATTCAAGGTCCAAAAAACACACTCAAACAAAAAAAAATAGAAAAAAAGGGAGGGAGAAAAAAAAAACAGACAAACAAACATACACCTGTCTTCTTCGTCTTTTTTCCGAGGGGCGGAGCGCCAGGCCATTCTGCTTCACCGCCGCGAGCACCACCTGAAACATCAAACACGGCGCCCTGTTGGCAGCTGGTTTTACTTGCTGGTGCCATAGATAGGCAAAGACGCTTCCGGCTTTTTTGGGAATCAACCAGGGAATTCCCTTCCAGGAAACCATAGGAAATGGTTCTTGGGCTCCTTCCAACTCATTCCCTACCGAACCAGCAAATAAGTGACAACGCCTCGCACACATTCAATTGGTCTGGGTGCGCGGCATCCAAAATCGGGAGGCCCCAAAAGGGCCCCTTGAAGCCCCCAACCCAGGAGCTTCCTCTTGAAGGGCCTGCTCTGAGCATTCCATGTGGCTCAAGATGAAATAGCCTTAAGGTTCCCAAAAACCAAGGTGACATTGTGGGGATTCCACTTTTTGAGCCACTGTCATGTCCTTTTAGATAATACGGGCTAGCCTGGCAGGACCTTTTTTACCAAAGACAAGCCAAGGTATTTGGGATCCTTTCCAAGGTTTCCTACAACATTGGAGCCGGAATCGCTGGGTTTGCCCAGATGGCCAGTCATTGGTGGCAAAGTGGGTTGAGATAGACCTTGGTTTTGACTGTTCTCACAGATCAACTGGGTATGTGTCAAAATAGGACCCATTTTGATGGGTGGTTTCGTGTTTTCCTTTCGGCTTCCCTAACCTGAATTCAGTACGTACCATCCAAAAAGGCTCACACCAAAATCACAAGGACTTTGCCGATTGGCTATCAAAAGGCGATCTCGGTCAAGGGCAAAGGCCACGATCCATACTGAGGGGGGGGGTCGTTCGGGTCTAAGCAGGACTCAAACATCAGTGCCAGTATTTCAAGACATGAGATGTCCAACAACACATATAAGGAACCCTGTTTGAATGGTGTTTTGAGGGAAGCCACAAGGGAACCCTTGTGGGGAGGTCCGCATTTCAGAAAACACCCGCACATGTCAACAAACTGACTTCGGGCTTTGCCCCAATGACACGCTTGACTAATGCCCAATGCATCCAGTTGCAAATCAAGCGCAATGTATTCAATCGTATATCATATCACATCATACATCTAAATATGCGCACGTGTGGGACATGAGCTCAGGTGATGATATTCACCAATATATCTTTTGGATTCCAACCCTGCCAATCGTCCCCCCCTTTTTCGTCCCCCTTTATCGCGGGCCCCACCTCAACGTCTCCCCGCAGGAGCACTGAGGCGTGTTCAAGAGCAAGCCTGGCGCCCGGCTCGAAGAGGTTCCATGCTGGACCACTTCACTACGAGTTCTACACCCTCGCTTGTCGTCAACTTGATACCTCGTACTGATTCAGAGCCAAAAAGCCACGCAGACGAGAGATCATTTGTGACTAGTGTCTACTAGCCATGAAGGACCATAGTCCCAGAACCTTCCCAACTCCCCTTGCTATGGCTCTAAAGTTCTCTAAAGCAACATTGGAAAATAGACAGTGTGACAGGGCAGTGAGAAAAAGGACGGTGTCCACGTACCTCTTGGCAACTGGAAATGGAACCGCCCGGAAAAAGCTACTGAACTGTTTGATCCTTTCCTGTGAAATGAACATGGCGGGTTAGTTACTTCTGACTCCTAGTGGCTTGCCTGCTATCCGGGCATCAAAGCTCAAAGTTTTTCAACCCAACACTTGCTACCTTTAAAGACGCCCAGGAAAAAAAAGAAAACCAAAACAAAATCGGAAAGAAACAACAACTACTCTACCCAACCAGCCGCCAGCCGCAAATTTTGCTAGCCATCATGAAAACCACTCCTGGCAAGCGAGACCTGGGAGCCTTTTGCGCCCCTAAGATGAAATCTGCATGCCTGTGAGACATTACAAATACAATACACATCCATGCATGCGCCAAACCCTCTTGGTTTTTAAGCGCCCAGGAGACCACGCCGCCGGGTGCCCGCGCCCTTGTTGCTGAACGGCCGCTAGCACCAGCTCCTTGTCGCCCTGCCACGCGGTTCTCGGAAGGTGGAAGGAAAACTCCACTCACATGGGAACCCCGCGTTTTTGTTAAACCCCTGGTTGATTTTGATCGAGGGTGTCCACTTTTAGTAGATATTCAAGGTTGGAGGGGAATCATCCCCCCCCCGGGTAACGGCGAGGGGGGGAGGTCGCCCCATTCCAAAATGTTCCCAGGGAAAATGGAACACATGAAATTCCAGGGGTTAACCCCCCCCCCCCCGAATCCCAATTCCATCAAGGTAAACATCTCTCGAGTCTTCGGAGCAACAGCAACCCTCACACCATACTGATGGACAACTCCGTGGGATGAATGGAAAACCCTACTCGAGCTGGGCTCCCAACAACCCCTTGATGTCTCGCGCGTCAAAGCGGGTGTCAAACACACTTCGACCATTGGCTAGACAAAGCGCCCGCTTTTGTGGGTTCGATGCAAATCCAGCTAAAAAACTGCGAGCATGCTCTGCGCTCATGGGAAACCCCCAAAGGCACAGTGGCAACCGAAACGCGTTGTTTGCTTTGAAACCACCAAAAGCACCTTGCCCTCCACAAAAACGCCTACGTGTTCCTCTTTTCTTCGGGGGGGAGTTTGGGACACATGTGAGTCATAATCAAAACCTGGTACAAAAATGGTGAACCCAGAACCATGTAAGGAATTGAAAAGGCGGCCGCACCTATTTATGGCTGGGATTGTCCCTTACTTGAGGAGCGGGTGAACGAAAGCTAGCAGTTGTTGCATGAGATGGGTCGGTGACAGAGTGGATTCAGAGGTAGCTTGTGTACAACGAGAGGCCCGGCAAGATTCGTAGGATGCGACATGCAAACGCACATGGTAGCGTGGCAAACCTTGAAAAATGAAAACAACGAGAGGCGTCAGAAGCTGTCTTAAAGCACCTCTGGGTTCTGCATGCTGCGTGTGCAAAGATTCTTGCGAGGTGGTTTACTGAGAAGACTGAGGTCTCAAATGAAGCAGCTGAATCGGTGGAACATGTAAAAGTTCATAACACCAAGTCCAAAACGGTCAAACCGAGACTGCTGAAACACTGAGCCACTGCCCGGGGGGAGGGGTGGACCAAGGAGGAATCGAGCCTGAGACGGGGGGGGGGGAGGGGGGGGGGGTCTAAATAATTGATGTGTTTCAATCTTTTCGGCTCAAATAATTGAAAAAATCAATCTTTCGGCAGTTGAGCCCCTTACCTTGCTTACGCAAGGAGAAACTTCAGCTAGCTAAAGCTAGCTTTCGTGACTAACCTTCATCTACCCGGGTTTTGATTGAGGCTCATGTGAGTATCTGTGTCCGAGAAGATGGTGCTCCCCCAAAAATACGCATGGCCACGTCAAAACCCCGGGGTTCAGGAACCGCATGGCACCTGTGAGAGTACGGATGGAGTCACAGCCAGGTACTTCAGACCCAAATCCATCCAAGGGCATTTTTAGGTTGGTTGGAGGTATGGATGTGCAAATGTACCAATTGGTTTGCTTGTATGGCAGTCTATGCCCCAGAAATACAAGTGATATTTCTCACCTTACCTCCAAAACCCCTCTCCCTGGACTCAAGAATCAAACGGAAACATGACACTCCAGAAGTGTTGGACCAGACCCCATGAATACAAATCCGCGCAGCTTTTCTTGCAGGCTGTCCCCTTCTACTTTGATTCTTGAGTCCGAATGGCGTGGAGATACCGAAACACAACCTCCCGGTGGGAGGCTTTGCGCCAACCAGCGTCCATCTAGTTGGTTTGGAGCCCCGTGATTTGGTGGTCCGGAGTGGTTTCCCAGTTAATTACCCTTCACAAGAACCAGGGGTTCAAATCCAAGCCACCAAATGGGTGTTGCCTTAACCGAAGCGGGAATAAGAGTGCCATTTGAAAAGAAGACACCAAGCCGCACCTGCGACTGAATCTGCTGGCACCTGCGAGCGAGCCCGCGCCTGGTACGCCTGAGCGTGCTTTAAGACTCTGCCATCTTGTTGCACCGCCATCTGGGCGCAAAAGCGAGAGCGCGACCGCGCGACCGCGAACGCCGTCCAGCGGCGTGTCTCCTTCTGATCCATGCAGCCAGTAGGCAACCAAGAACAAAGGGAACATGGCTGACGACCTAATTACCCCTTAAAACTCCAAGGATTGGGGAAGTTAACCTTTTACAGACATATAGCCCATGTTACCCCCAAAAAGTTGAAAAGTTGTGTTTTTAAGAGGTAAGCCTAATTACTCTGCGGGGAACTGGGAGGGCAAGGTTCGCCATGTAAAAACAACCCTCAGCCTCGGCCCTTCACACACTTCTCTGGGCTGTCCCACAGATCTGCGAACAGTTTAACTTTTACGTCAAATGGAAACCCCCGCTAAATCGTGAGAAGCTCAAAAGTTAAGGGGATGGCTGGGAACCACCAAGTTGTCTGTAGCTACCCAAAAGTCTAGACCAACAGTCGGGGCAAATACGAAGCATCTGCCACTCGTGTTTGAGTCGAGTTCAGGGAATCCTACGCTGACCACAGCTGACTTGTCTTGGCTAAACGAGTGGACCCCCTGCAACAAGTGGCAACTTGCCGGCTGAAGGAAAACCAAAGGGGCAAACGGGGAAACGGTGAACCCGAGTCTGGTTGAACATCTTGAGGTTCCTCCAAGTGAACAAGCCTAAACCTAGAATATTAATGTGTTCGTTCTTCATCATGTTAGGCAGGGGCAAAGATGTAAGATGTTAACCGTTGACCCAGGTTAGTTAGACTAGGGTGACAGCAAATGGTACAATATCCACAAGTCGAATCATCCCCTTTGCTGATATGCAAGGAATTGCGCCATTTACGTTCACCCAGTTAACACCCAACAAAGGGTTCACCATTTTGAGAACCCCCCCCCCCCCCGAAACAAAAAAAACTTCGGGCACGTAATTGGCATAGGCTTCGGTACTTGAACACCAAATGTAATAATTCCAGGCAAACGGGTCTGTTGCATGTTTGTTGGTGGCTTCGAAGGGGGCGCGGGGAAAAACAAAAAACACACACACACACACACACCCGACACCTTGGGCCACCTCCCCCCCCGAAACGGACACGCGTCGGATCGCATCGATCTCTCAGCTCGCAGCCAAGACATGGCTCCGCGACCTCAAGCCAACCCACGCGCTTGCAGGCCAAGTGTTTCGTCTCTGGCCTGGGCTATAAACGACAAAGTCACAGATGCTGCCCTCTTGGGACGAAGCACCTTTGTGTGTGTAGATACATTATATATATATTATACGGTGTATATATATATATATATGTAATTATATAATACTACGTGGTTTTTGTTTTTACCAAGATGTCTAACCAACTCGCCTGATCGCAACCCCTGGGAAAAAGCCCTGAGACTTATAGGTGGGTCATAAATCATAGCCTAGGCTCACCACAGAGTGACCGAACACTGTCCTGATGCCACACCGTAGGAAACATCTCGCTGCATGTGGTTCGAACCGCCAAAAAACAATCAACACTAGGCATGCACTGCTGAATGCTGAGTCTGGCTTCTTTTGGGGGACCCCCAAAACCCCAACATGGCTGGTTTCCTGTATGGCTTTCCTTTAAAACCACCAAACAAGGGGTGCCAACTCGAAAGACGGAGCCACCTGAGCTTGCGGTGGGTTTCCCACAAGCCAACGCAGGACGAGAGGCTCGCAAAGGCAGGGCGTGCCTGTCAGGGATAGGCCGATAGGCGGCGGGGCAAATTTTGGGGTTGGCTAAAGTCTCAGCCCAAAGGACCTGGAAGCTCAGAGGCTAAACTTTTCGAACCTTGACTAAACATGGACAGGAAAACGAGGTCATTTCAGGTCGACTCGCTTTGGGCAACGTAGAAGTGGCTCCTTTGAAGGTAGGGCTTCGCAGGAAACAAGGGGGACTTGAAGATTTACCATGTTTCGGCCTGCTTGTCTTGAAGCCATTTAAGGAAATCCACCAGAGAACCAGGGATCTACTTGCCCATGCTTAATGTCCAAAGGGCAAGCTGCGAAAGAAAAGGAATTAACAGGAAAGGGTCGGCAAAAAGTAGGGTCCCCACCTGAAAACTCGAATTGACCCCTCAAGGACAATCTATCTGCCTAGGGCGAGCCTGACAGGTTGCATCTGCAAAAGTATCTGCAAGGACCATCCTTTTGACCGAGCGGGAATTCCACCATCGCAACTGGACACGTGTGGAAACAATGGGGCCCCTCTTTTCAATCTAGTTACATGGCCACTCTTTGTGGGAACCTTGCTTGAAGAGGTTTGAAGGGGAACCAATCCCCTCAGAAAGGTGCCCGCATGAGGCGGATGCGATGTGTAACCAGGACCCTTCAAAACGGGACTCATGATTGGCGGATCCCCCTGAATCACAACTAAGGTACAAACACAAGTTGATGTGTTGGTTGATTCCCACTCGCCCCAATCATTTTTGCAAGTTGAAGCGTCTGAGCGAAATGACTAGAGGGTCCAGCTTGCTCTGCTTCACCAAATGGAAGCTGCGGTTCGACTGTTCAGTTTTGTGGGCTGCACCGCTGCCTTCACATGGGTTGAATTGCCGTGAAGTGCAAGTAGGAGAAGGAGTGAGAGCGGAGTGAAGCGGAGTGGAGGGAGTGGGAGTGGGAGGGTGAGAGTGCAGTGGGAGTGGGAGTGAGAGGGAGAAACTGGGAGTGGGAGTGGGAGTGAGACTGAGAGCGACAAGAAGGAGTGACAGTTGAGTGAGAGTGGCAGTGAGAGTGCAGTAAGAGTGAGAGTGAGAGCGAGAGTTAGAGCAAGAGCGGAGTGAGAGTGAGAGCGGCAGTGAGAGTGACAGTGAGAGTGAGAGTACGCGTGAGAGTGGGAGCAAGAGCAAGAGTGGAGTGACAGTGGAAAGCGAAAGTGAAAGTGAGAGTAAGAGTAAGAGTGGAGTCAGAGTGAGAGCGAGAGTGCGAGTGAGACTAAGTGAGTGAGATTGAGAGTGAGAGTGAGAGTCAGAGTGAGAGTATGACGAATAGAGTGAGTGGAGCGGCTGGCGGCCCTCTTTGACACACCTCGCCGGCACGTGAATTCGGCATGTTTCACTTGAGGGGCAGGCCGCTGGGTTCAGGAAATCGGGGTTCTGCGAACTGTTCTGAGGGGTTCTGCGAAGTTTGCTAGATGGGTTCTAAGAAGTCTTGCCACAGCCAATTCAGAAATCAAGCAGCTTCCGTGAAACGGATGAAGTCTTTGCAGAACTTCCAAAATTATAGGCAGATCTCGAGCGATTGATAGAAGAAGTTCCAAGTCGACCGGGGTGGGTCCGACAAACAACCCAACCCTTTCATGACAGGGGATGGTATGCCTGTTTGCGCATTTTCAGCCGAAAAAAACACCTTTCAAAGGGTTCGGTACAGGAAATTCTACCAAAAAACAGAGCTTATTTAGGGTGTTTCGGGGCCATTTCCTGTAGATTTTCCTGCAGCCAAACCCTTCGAACCTTCCATCCCGAGCATGATATGTATGACTTATGACCCAATGAAAATCCATGACGAGGCCAGCATGGCAGCCCACACCTGTCGAGAAAAGCTCACCTGCGCCCGTCTTCATGCCTGAAAACGTCGTTGGGCATCAACCACCTCAAGGCGTTGCCTCATGTCGCAAACATAAACACTGCCAATCATACCCATTTCCATGCTAGCGGCAGAGCACATAAGACGCACATACTTCTGGCCGGGTGCTGTGCAGAGGTACCTTTGGTGGATGTTGAAGGAAAAACCTACAACAAGGCGACCGAAGGTCTTCACTTCCGAACTTCCCGGATTTCGGCTTCGTGCCGGCGCGCCTGGCGACTCCTGGCGAGGCTTTAGCCAGTCAGGCGAAAGGAGGCAAGAACATTTTGCTGAACAACTACCTGTCCCACTGACATGGAACCCACCGGAGGGGTATCGTCTTCCACCCCGAAATGTCAGGCTCCGTGTCAGTGGATGGGTAAATCATAGTTTACTCCTTCAAGAGGCTTCTGTCATTCTCCCTTTACATCCAAAAGGTTGCCTTCGAGACTTATCCCGAGAGAGGTGAACAATGCGAAGCTCAAGCTCCAGGCCAACAACTTCGAACCGCAAGACCGCCGTTTTGATCGCCGCCCTTTTTTAGGACACCATCTCCAGCCAGCCGCTATCCTAGCCGGTAAAGTTTCAAGCGGTGCGGCTTGGGTGTTGCGCTTTTCTGGGTTCCAGCTCCTTCCAAGTACCAGCCCAAGCTGTGAGATCCAATCCGATCGATCCTGGTGTCCTTTAAACCGACTTACAGGACGTTCGACAAAACGCTCGGTGAAGCCCAGGGGTCCGTTGTGCGCAAAGCTTGGAGCGAGCCCCTGTCAGATCATTCTGGTGCGGGAGCTGGAAAACCCCACATATCGCCGCTTGGAAAGGTGTCAGCTGGAATATGTTTTCCAAAGTTGAGCAAAAGGGCACAGGAGGAAACAATGCAGGCATCAGGCAGATTCCTTTTCGTCCGTGCAACCTTTAGAGTCGTTCACTCCGCTGTGAAAAAAATAAATTGTGGGAATGGAAAATCCAACCTGTTTCTCAAAAAGTTAAAGTTCAAAGATCCAGCCAAATAGCCAAATCGCAGTTTTTGCTCAAAGACAAGACACCACCTTTCTGGGGGGGACAAAAAACATGAGGAACCGAAGAGGGGCGTTGTTTCCTGAAACGCCCCAAGCGCCCTTTCTTTTTGCAAGTCCCAGCTGTCAAAGCTGCGATTGGAAACCTAGGACTACCCATGTTCCAGGTGATGCGCTTGCCTTTGAAGCTCCTGCGCGGCTCCGATCTAACTCTACATGTCTCTGGGCGTCGCTGCCCTTCCCGCGGCCGATTTGAGGCGAACACATTTTCTGAAGCCCCTCCATTGGAGGGCGCCCAGGCCTCGGTGCGCATGCTCGCCTAGGCTTCGGCCGGCGCGATCTGGCGATCTGGCGATCTGAATTCTGTGTGCGAGTGTCGAAGATGCGGCGGATTCTCTGAAGGTGCCAAGGTTCGCAAATGTTAACCCTGTAACTTGCAACCCGATAGTTTGCCACACAGCCGGATGCCAAAAAGGCAAGTGGTCGTCCCAAAAGGGACGCATGTAGGCTGATGATTAACCATCCCCCGTTCTCCCGACACATCTGTGCTGACTGCTCTATGGCCCTACGGCATAGTTCGAAGGAAAAGGGAACGCTGACAGCTTGGCAGAAGGCATGGTGCACCCTAGTCAGCATGGAATCTCAGAGATATTGAGAACCACAGTCCTGAGAAAACCAGAAGAATCTTGAACCGCTGGTCAAATACACCTCATTTGTTCGTAGGGGGTTCGTACTTTGCAATAAATGAACCTTTGTTCCTCTTGCGTTGCCGAGGCTCAAACACAAACGCATCAACTCCTGCTGCATCTTGGAGAGGACTCGAGAGGACCCCCAAACACGTAGCTATATCCGTCGTGTCCAAAAGGGACCCAAAAAAACAAGCATAATGAGCTGGGTTGCTGTTGACCCCTCTGCAAAAAAACTGTTTGTGGGTTTAGTGGAAACCCCCTTGAGTTCCTAAAAAGTTAAAGTCTCAAGATCCAACCCAATAGCAGTCAAGCAAGGAAAGCCAACTATGTTCTGACACAATCGGCGAGGCTGGACCCCATCGCAGGTAGGAGGGGAGCCCGAGGGGGGAGTCCCCAAAAAACGACACGCCCGTATTCAAGTCTCGAGCATGTCCAGTGAACCACCGTGATCCAGTGATGTCGCAGTAGCTAATTCACCTGGCTTTTACCTTCAGGCCAACAACTTTGCACTGGCGATGGCACTGAAATAATTACCAAGCTTGCATACCATCCACCAGGGGGATTGTCAAACTTCGGGCCCTTCTTGGGGCATAAAACGGTGGAAGCCGCCTATTTCTAGCCACACTAACTAGGGTGCGTCATGGTAGGATTTGGGCCCACAACGGCAGTTATCCTTTTGGCTTCCCTCAAAACCCAACTCAAAAAAGGGAGTACCAATTCAAAAATAAAAAGCAGAAGAGCCGCCCTAAAAGGGGCCCCATGTTTGCACCTATGACACCGGCAGTGCCAAAAAGAAAGCGGCCCCCTCTGAATAAGGCCGAAAGACGTCCGCGAGAAAGCTGCGGGAGAGACCTGAGGCAACCAAACCCGAGGCAAGCGGATTGAGATGCTGGCTACGAAAACCCAAAAAAACATCCCCCCCCCCCCCCCCCCCGCCGCTTTGGCTTGCCCACTGAGCGGCCAAGAGAAGCTCCTTCGAACTGAGTGAGACTCTTACGGGTGGTCGAAGGGTTCGGATCGATCCTTTGCGGAGGCGGGCCCTGATGCTTAGCCCTGCTGGCTGTTCCAAATTACGAGCATCGCAGTTTAAGAAGAATCACGCCTGGGCGAATGACAGCCACCAAATCGAACGTGACCCGCACATCTTTCAGGGATCTGCATCTTTCGCATTATGATAATCTCGCAGACCGTGTCGCTTTCAGCATCCCAAACGCACCTTGGCCGCATACCGCACCTTTTTCCGATCAAAGCCAAAACACCTGAAAGTATCTGAGGTCCCCCAGTCACCGGCTTACACGAAGTCGCGCCAGCTCTCAGGCCTCGCAACCGCCACCTGCGGTGAGGCGGTTTCAGAGTTGGGCCCAGTTGGGAGGCGGGTTCCCGGGTTTTGTTGGGGTGGTGTTTCAAAGGGGAACCAAAAGGACAACCCGCGGGGGGTCGGGGGGGCCGCCAAAATCCCGGAGTTCCCACCCATTTTGGAGAGGTCTCCTAAACAACAACGCAATATGTTTAAACCAATGCACCAGGATAGCCGCTAGTCGCCAGCCATGGTCCTTTTAGTTTCAAGGCTTCCCTCGAAAACGGGGAGATGGAATCAATGTGGAGGGCGCTTGTCAGGACACCGGGCGGGAAACTCGGATCGAAGGGTCTAGATCGAGGCTTTCTGGGAGGGTATGGGGGGATGGTATGTTGTCTCTTTTGGACCTTGACTATAAGTAGGCCAAAAAGGGAGAACCAACAAGAACCAAAAGGCAAAAGGCCGATCCGTTTTGGGCAACTGAGTTTGGTTCAACTGAGCCTGGTGCTCTGTGCTTCAAAGACAATGGCTTGCTCACTTGAAGTAGTCACTCCAAGTAATGTCTTCCATCGGACGACGACTGCAAGGTGCTTGCCTCGACGCCGTGCTTGAAATGTGATTGGGGTGTCCACGCCGAAAACCCTTAGGGGTATCCAGGAGACTTTTTTGAGCCACATGACCACTAAAAGGGTATGCCTCTGCGGGTGGCTTGGGTGGCGGCGTTACAGCCGCCCCAGGATGAATGGATAAGGTCTCAAAGCAGTCCACCAGAAGGTTTGCCGATTCCTTTGGCGAGCGTCGGGGTTACTCACTTGGGCCAACCAGGGAGCAAGTGTCTGGTTGCTCATGGCTAACAGGGAACCTATGGGAAACAACGAAACAACTGTAGCTAGGTTTTGGCTTGCTGGCAAAAATACGAGGGCAACAGCATCGCTGGCCCAAGAAAACACGTTCCGTACCTTCATGGAGTATTACAAGGCAAGACTAGATGTTACCTCTGCAGCAATATGCGAACCGCTCACCCCTATTGGATTTCCCACCTCAAAACCCAAAAATAGGCACCCTCACAAAAAAGACGGCCCCCCCCAAGGGGGCCTTTTAAAGGCTCGGTCACTGGCCCTGTGCCTGGGATTTCTCGCGGCCAAGGCAAGGCCTGCGATCGATTTTGGCCGGCTTCGGCCGGCTTCCCCAAGTCCCCCTGAGTTCAAATTCCAAGCGGTTTGCCGGTTGGGCAAATCATCCCTTCCCCAAAAAAGAGTGCCAAAGGTTCAACCAATAGCTAAAGATTCAAAAAAGAGTGCCAAAGTTAAAGGCTAAAGATTCAACCAATAGCTCAGATGCCCAGTGCCCCTGGCAAAAAAAAAGGGCATCCTTCTTTGGTTGGTTCAGCCGCATTGCCAATTGGAGTGAGTGGAGCCAAAATCCGGGCCACAGCCAAATTTCAAGCCTTCCCGCTTAGGGGAGGGAAAAAGCATGAACTAAATCAAAAGGGACAGGAGCATGTGGTCAGCTTGCGTCGGCCCACGAACCCCGGTTGCCCAACCCCAGCATTGGCAAAGCCACGTCACGTAAAAAGAGCGGTGAGGGCCACAACATGTTTTTTTATTGAACGCATACTTGCAACATCGAAAAAGCGTCTTGGCGGACACCAAGGATTCCGTTGCATGAATAGTGAGCTCGATCAAGGGTTTCAAGTTTGGCATCTTGGGAGTGGCAGCCAGCTAGCTGACCTGCGACACTTTCCCAAACTAGGTCCTCCAGTAGAGAGGTTAGAATAAGGGTACCCTTTTTTCTGTAGTCTATTTTAGTAGGGGAACCCTCCCCCAAGAAAGGGTAAAAGGGCACTACTGGGGGACCTAGCAAAAAAACGAAAAAAGCGGTCGCCACTGGGCAACGGGGATAGCTCCCCAAGACCCGTCTTGGTGCGAAAAAGCTCCGCCTGAGGAACGCCAGGGGCTGCATCGAGGCCATAGTGGCGGTGGCCGCCGTCGGCAAGGTCTCCTGGCAAAAAGGGCCCGAAGATGCAGCACATGGGATCTGGGGAGCTCCCAGGTCCTTGAACTCCTGGTAGCTCCTTAGCTTCCTTAAGAGCAACTTTGGATACCCCCAGCTCCTTGGCTCCATTCCAACTACCAGTTTGCTTCACAATGTTTGAAGAAACACCTACATTTCAAGGGGCAGGCATCTTCATAGGTGATCTCTCGTTGTGTCTGCGAATCGCCGCTATAGTTAATGGCTGTTTCGGATTGGGAACTGGGGGTAAACCCTGGATTAATGGGAATCCACTTCCCGACTTCACCGAACCTTACAGTTGAACGAATTCAAACACAATGAATCCGGATCCATGCCCGGACTTTCAACGTGTCATAGGATTTTAACACCCCCGCTCTTTCCCCTAAGCCCCTGTCCCCTCACCCCCCCCTCTCCCCTGGGGTCCTCCTTATTAAGGCTTGTTGGGTCTTGTAGTGGGGAAGCACGGCCAAGGGAGGTTGCAGTAGGAAAGTGGGGGACCCATAGGTAGAAGGCCCAGATGCTGAATCTGGAGAATTGCTTTGTTTTCCTCATATACTTACCAGCGGTGAGCATGGAGGTTTGAGGAAGAAACCGCCCCCAAAGAAACTCAGATGCCTTCTAAAATACCTCTGGCGCTGGACCCTTTTCAACCTGGACATCCTCGACCTTGGGCACAGGAAAACGTGCGGAGACCTCATGCAGCGGCCCGAGTTGCCTTTGAACACTTGCAAAACCGGATAAAACCGAATAACACTGAATAACACCGAATAAAAACCCAATAAAACCCAATAAAACCCAATAAAACCGGATAAAACCGGATAAACAACCGGATAAAACCAAATGACATCCTGCAAACCATTCAACCTTTTCTCCATGCGAGTCCCGACTGGAAGGCCTGAGCATTGTCGCACGCGCACATCTTCTGGATGCCGGCCATGGCCTGAAAGGTGTGGGAAAACCATGGCGTCTTTTGGCTTTTGGGGAAACTATTTTTTTTGCCCCCAAGTTTCTGTGGAACATGTGAGTCCGCCCGCTTCCTTGTGGGAAGTTTCTAGTGAGGCCGGTTTTTGTGAACATTTCTGGCTTCGCTCCTATTTTTGTTGTGGGAAAGTCAGCCCTTGTGGAAGCAGGATCTCTGAAATGTAACTTCTAAATTCCCTCACTTCAGCTGAACAAAACCGTATGACTTTGTTTGTTGTTGGGCCTCTCAAATGCATGATTACATTTTGAAGGTGCCAGTCGGCCTGATCAAAAGGGGGGGGAAATGTTCAACACTCGATCTGGCCTGGCAGAAAATTCTTATATGGGTATGGCTGAAAATTAAACTGCGTGGGTTTTAGTCTTTGGTTCCATTTACCAATGTGCCATTTTGGTACCACTTTTTTGAGCCACAGCCATATCACAGTTTTGAGGCATCATGGTGCGCATGATTCATGCAAGCTACATCAGGAACATCAGTGCTACTTTCTGCTTACCTCTGTGAATCCCAATATAGAATAGTGTCATGTCATCTCATCTCATAAAATTGCACGCCGTATCATATCATATATCATGTTAGATGATATCATGATCATTATCATTCGCATTAGCATTAGCCTTGTGATTAGCACTAGCATGCCATGTCATGCACCATGTATTTCGTATCCTGTATCATACACCCTGCATCATATATAGTACTGTTCATAATAACCACATGATATCAAATCACATCACATCAGATCACATCATATCAGAGGCTATCATGTCAAATTATATCATGACAGATTACTATCATATCATATCATGCCACGTTCCATCATGACTCATATCATAGCCATATCATATCAGATCACTGTCATTGTCATTAGCATATTTCATCATATGCTGCTTGTTTCATGTCAGACTGTGGATGGACAAACTCCGTTTCGGATTCACCACTTTGAACCCCTCCGCCTTGAATCCCTCCGGTTTTAGCTGGTGCGAAACCCGCCTCCGCCTCCGGTACGGGCGCCTTCCCGGTGTCCGAGTTCACCTCGCGGGTGTCCCTTTGGAGCACCGACTCGGGTTCTGCAGAATGTGTGGGTTTTCTGGTGGATAGAAACCAGAAAAAAAAAAGAAAAAAAAGGCGCCGTGTTCAACCGGAGTCATCTGTAAAGGACACTTGGAACATGGAGGATGGAGAAAGAGAACGTCACCTCATGGAGGTGTTTGGTGGAAGCTAGAACACCAATCGTCTTTCCAATCACGGAGGAAAACAAGAAGGCTCTCTAGGAAACGGCTTTCATCATCTCAAAAAGCTGCCTGCCCATTCCATCTCAATATTGGCGGTCTTGGCATAGATTGTCCGCTTTGGCTTTCTGAGACAAAGGCATCCTGCCGCAAGAGCTCATGCCAAACTGCCGAACGGCAGGAGAATTCACCGGGTGTCTCAAATCGAAGTGCTTGAGTGTTGCTTGAGTCTTGCTTCAGTGGTATGGCTCGACGCCAGGTCATCCCCCGCTAGTCACTAGCAAGCCAGCATAGAAGACAGTTGGGGATATAACTCTTTGGGAGGGACGCTGTTTTGCACATGATTCACGTGGGGAGATTTCTGTCACACCAAACACTTTCAAGAGAAAGTTCCCTGGTTTGAGTTATTTTGACACATACGTGAGCATGTGGGGTTGTCTCAAAATTGGGGACCAAAAAATGGTTGGCTTCCTCTTGATCAAGAAAAGAACCCCCCCTTGTGCAAGGTACCCTAGTATTCCTGCGACACATCCCATCCCATCCCCCCCCCCCCATCCGGCCGTGTTGTGAAGGCGGACAAGCCAGTGCTCCAAGTCGTCGCGGGTGCCCAGATGGGGCGCCACCCTCAAAAATGGTGCGTCGCCCGGCCGCCCGGCACCGGAAAAATCCATCGGATGACTCCCGTACAAATTACCCACAAAATCCGCTTCGCACCAGTTGGCAAGCGGGTTCCTCCAATATTTATAGGGCTTCAACCACCCTCACTGGTGCAGGATTTCGTCCATCCACGGTATCTCAGTTGCCCAAAGGGAAATACAAGAGTAACCATTTCGGGCCACTAAAAATGGTTTCGCTTCGGGCAAGTGAGATCACCCCCCCAGAAACATGTAACGTCACAGAGAGGGGAGGGTCCTGGAAGACCATTTTCCTCTAGAATGTTGGTGGGCTCGAGGTAGTTTGTAGCTATAAAACATAAATTGTTGCTTGTGTCCCTTAACGAATCAAGGCTCACAACCTCATCTTCTGCAGCCCGAAAGAGCCTGGCAAGCTGAAGGCCCCTTGGACATCCCCAAAGTGGTGCAACCACACAGACCCACGACCGTCCCCGTGTCCGTAGTCTCTTTGTTCTGGAAACGTCAGAATTCCGACATCTGAAATCAGAGTCGGATGCGGATCCAAGTTCAGGACCGTGGTTTCTCCCCCAAGTTGTCAAAGCCGCCACAAACTTGGCAGTCTGGTAATGCATGCCCACGTCACGAATTACATGTCTTGGCGCCCAAAACCCTTTGACCACTGGTTCTACTAAAATGGCAAGGTTTACATATTGAGGCATAGCTATACCTCCCACCGAAACCAAGAGCCTTGCCAAAGGATTTCTTGCTGGGAATCACCAAGTAAGGCTTTGGGAGACCATGGATCCCCTAAACTTCTAAACCACGAGGCGATGGGTCAGCTGGGGTTCCAATCATCTATCTTTTGAAATCCCTCATTGCCTAGGGGGTTTGGCCATGTTACACGAGAATCAGCTCCAAAGAGCAAGGGACTGACCGTTTGTATCTTGAGCCTTGTTAGGACCGTTAAGCCGAGTGCTACCACCCACAGTGCTACAAAAGGCCAACCGGTTTTGTTTACCCCTAAAATGGTCCAAACCCAAACAGCGGCAAAAGTCCGAAACGGAGCTCGGGGACTGCAGCGCGGATGGAGCTGTGCGAGTGGCGGGTCATCCTGGAGGTGCTGCCGGAGATGGTCCCCACAGCTGCTGCCTTCGCGAGCGCCCGAGGCAAATCGGTTGCCCAGATCCCCTTCCAACTGACATGGAAAGTTTACCCCTGTAGCAGGCCTTCGCCCGAAGAATGAGAAAAAAGCCAGATACCCTCCCACCAACTAACATAGAAGTGCACAACCCACCCCCTTTCCAAGAGGAAAGCCGTCTTTCTATAAAATGGTCTGTGCACTTCCATGGAATCGGTGGGAGGGTATCCCTTTTGCCGCAAGTTGACCCCAGTTAACATGGAACCTGACGTTCGACCACCCTGTCAGGTTCCAAGTGAGGGAGATGAAATGTTCGCGCAGCCAAGCCCAAAAACGGAGCCGTCCTTCAGGCATAAGCTGTCCAGGTAATTACTCGGTACATCCAAACCTCGGCCCTCTCCAAAACACAGAGTCCGACAAAATGATCGTAGAGGAGCCTCTTTATGCACTTGCCCGAACCTCAATCCTTGGGAAAATAGACGCCGAAATGGTGGTTGTTTCTTATAGTTTCCCTTCAAACCAACCCGAAAAGGGTACACGCAATATATTTGGCAGCCCCTCCCCCAGCCAGTTCCGAGGTGCATGGTAGCACCTTGGGCAAGGAGTTCATCATCTCCTGAGGCCCCCCAACAGGCTCCAACCCCGCCGAATGCGTTGCCTATGCGGGGTATGCACCTCCATGGATTTGGTCTGGGTAAACCAAGGCCAAGCAACTTGGCAAATCTTGGAGTAGCCGTGATTGAAACTGTTGTTAACAGCCTTCCCTTCAAAAAGAGACAACCAGGGTTTCCAGTCCGATTCTAATCCGCAGTTGTCCAGTGACACCGTAAGTTTCCACAATTCCAACGTGTCTTGGCCCATCTGGCGTTCTCCAACATATTCCAAAAGTCTTCAGCTTTGTTTCACATTAAATCTACGCACTATACATCGTTGAGACACAACTTTTCGCTTGAATCCGACTCCAAAAGTTTCGATGCGACTCCGACGAATCCGAATCGACTCAACAAGTTTGGCTCCTCAAAGCTCCGCTGCTGCTCTGGCGCCAGCGTGTCCGGCATGCCGTGTGCCATGCAGTGCCTCCGAATCCACCGAGCGCCGTGGCTGCGCGAATCGCCGGAATCCAGCTTTGAGACGCGAATGTGCGGGAAATCCTGTTTTCAAGCAGGTGGGACCTCAAATGGCCAACGGAGGGGTTGGCGGATCAAATGGGAACCTGTCCCTCGAATCTTGGGGAAGATTCACATGTAGCTGGGCCCAGTTGGGTGCAAATAGATGGCACCATGCCCCCACATTTTGGTCCAGTTCTCCCCTTTGCTGCTCCGCCTGCCAAAAAGAATTTGACCTCATCCGGCGGGGTTGTGCATGTCTTCTCTTTGGCCTCCAGGTTTGCCATTGCCACCTTTGGACCAACAAGATGGTGGGGCTGTCTCTATTTGTGGGTACCCTTTTTAGGCTTGTAAAAGGAAACCAAGGGACCGGCCCCCTTCTTGTTGGGGGGGGAATCCATATTGTTTGAAACCAAACCCGCATGGTTCTCAAACGTGTGACGGAGCTTGGGATGTTGCAAACACCTCCAAGCTTCGGACAGCTATTGTCTCAACTCTGGTCACCTTCTTCATCGGTCAGTTCCCTGAAAGGTGCCCCCTCGAAGCCAGAAACCGGGGCCAAGCCACACGTATGTCGTTTCTCCCGCCCGCTTGCTAGCTTCAACTTCGGGAACAGCAACGTTTGGTCGAAACTCGGACGAACCCCGACTGGGACAACCCTGCGGCCCAAAAGAGGGCCCTGATGCTCGATCCGATCCGAGCATTAAAAACCAACGTGGGGAAACGGGGAAACTGCAGAAGAAAAAAAAGAAGAAAAAGAAAAGCATGCAGAACCCACCTCCGAAATGGGCGGTTCTGGAAACCAACCTGAGAGATGGTACCTGTACAAAAGTCCACCCAATTTCTTGGAACCTTTCAGAGCTCCCTCCAAGCAAACTTGGATACGCCCAGTCGGGTGTGCAACTTCTTGAGAGTATAGTTCTTTTTTGCCAACAACACACCGATTTGGGAACCCACAAGGGGGTTTTCCAGCAACCTTCGCCCAGGCGCAAGCTCTTCCACATGGGCGGGCCCCAGGCGGAAGGTGCCTCAGCTTACTCCTAAGGGTGGCTATGGCAGGGAGGGCCGTTGATTGGTGCCAACTTTTAAGGGAAGCGCCTTGGGCTGCTTTCTTGTTGATCAATCAATACACATTGTTCAAACGATGCATCTGCTGCATATATCCATTTTAAACTCAACAGGAGATCGTTCCTTGTCCCCGGAAAGCTACCAGGAGGTGGGCTTGAGGTTCCCGAATGATGCCAGGAGGTGCTGAGCTTACTTGCTTGCCCCGCTTTTTGTTCTCGCCCCGGTTTCTTTCTCGCCCCGGTCCAAAAGCGGGCCAGCTCATCCGAAAGCGGATCTTTCCGGGTTGATGTTCCTTGGTGTTCCTTGACAACACGTCCACTTGAGAGGCGGGTGAACGAAAGCTAGCCTAGCCAGCCCAACAATGACATGGACGACTCAGCAATCCTACATGAACATCCAGAAAGACAGATTCCCTAGCTGCAAACATGTGGACGAGATTATGGGAATACGCTCGTGCTGGGGGTGGGACAGGGGAATCCCCCCCCCCCCCCCCCCCCCCCCAACCCTGATTAAATCAGGCATCGTGGGAAGTTCAGCCCCTAAAAGAAGCTAAAGCTTAGAGAACTCCAGCTAGCCCAGCTGGCTTTCGTGATAAACCCATGCCTCAAAGAATGTCGCATGATTTCTGGAGGATGTTCCTCGGGGAACAACAACTCATACCCAATTGCATACTACCAGGTTGGTGTCCTGTCTGTGGTCTTTGAAACGTGCCCAGTGGGGAGGTCCACCAGACTGAGGGTCGCCAATGGGTTGCATCCTTTCGATGGAAATTCATGTCCACCGACCACTTGGCAGGTGGGTTTCCTTTTACAGTTTGTAGCAATTTGGTTGGGGATCAGGATGGTTCCCTTTGGCAGGTGGTTCCCTTTGGCAGTGTGGTTCCCTTTGGCAGTGTGGTTCCCTTTGCAGTGTGTTGGGGACCCCCCAAAATAGGGGTCTTCATTTTTGGTTGCCCACTGGTTGCCCGTCAAGACCGCCAAAGACGGGCGCACACTCAAAACAAACAAACAAACAAACAAACAAACAAACAAACAAACAAACAAACAAACAAACAAACAAACACACAAACACACAAACACACAAAAAAACAAGCAAGCAAGCAAGCAAGCAAGCAAGCAAACAAACGAACGAACAAACAAACAAACAAACAAACAAACAAACAAACAAACAAACAAACAAACAAACAAACAAACAAACAAACAAACAAACAAACAACTACACACACACAAACAAACAAAAAAACAAACAAACAAACAAACAAACAAACAAGCAAGCAAGCAACCAACCAAACAAACAAACGAAACAAAACAAAACAAACAAACAAACAAACAAAACAAACAAACAAACAAACAAACAAACAAACAAACAAACAAACAAACAAACAAACACACACACACACACACACACACACACACACACACACACACACACACACACACACACACACACACACACACACACACACACGTTTGCAGGCAGACCCAAACCGAGCATCCTCAAAACACGCGGCTCAACTCGGCTTTCCGGCTCCCGCACAAGTTCCCGCGGCGCCGGCGCCAATTTTGGAGGCCTCAGGTCCAGAAAATCCATTGCCACGGGCTCCGATCCGGAGAAAAGTTCAGGGCTCCCTACATTTCCCCTAACATCACACTCAAAAAGCTGATGTCAAAACCACCAAAAAGCGGGAAATATAGGGACCCCTGAAAAGGGGGTCCCTTTATTGAGGCGAAGTGCGCCGTAAAATTAATTCTTGAATTCATTGGACACGGGGTAGCGGTGTCCCTTTTTGTAACCCACTGCGGATTGCCAGTTGGGATTAAAGATGGGGGATCTCGACTCCATTTTCAACAGACTATGCAAAGGGTGAGGAGCCAGTCTATGAACCAACAAAAAAGATGCGTTTTGGGGAACAAAGCAAACCACATGGAACTACATTTGGACGTGTCTTAAAATAGGGGACCCTCAAAATGGTGTTGGTGTCCCAGTTTGGCTCATGCAATTTCGATCATTTCAACCCAGTTGTGAGGCTCTTGGCACCTGTTGACCTTTGACTTCTCTCCCCTCCCCCCCCCCCCGCCCTGCAAACTGGAGGGTTAAAAAGGCAGGCGAGGATATAACTGGGTTGATCAGTTGGGCGTGGAAGTCTGTTTGTGTTGTGTTGAGGAAACACAAAGGACAACCGCATTGTTTGGAGTACCCCTATTTTGACACATGCCCATATGTTGGTTGCCAGAAAGCTGAGCTTTTTCAGCACGCGCTTTCGCTCGCGGAGCGAACGATGCGAGCACGAGACGACCCAGTTGACAAAACCAAGCCCATCCAACCACCAAGGGGTGCAGAGAGGGGCGCTGAGCAAAAAAGTGCAAAAAGCAAACAACTCGTGAAGTGAGCTTATCTTTCCTACCTCAGCTTTTGCACCCCCAATGTTTCAGTTTCCCAGCTGTTTGGCTTGGATTTGGGTGGTTTTGGGGTGGTTTCCCATTTACCCTCTACAAAAGCCAGGGCTTCAAATTCCCCAAACAGCAATCCAAACCACCAAGGGTTGCCTGAATGTTTGGATCTGATCCGATTTCATCACCCTGACTTAATCGTACCCCCAGTGAACATCCGATTCAATCCAACCACTAAAATAGGAAGCCTAAAATGGGTGGTGAGTTCACCAATCCCCAAAATGGGATCCCAACACGGTTTTGACAACCACAGCCATTTCAGCCCAACCAAAAAGGTCCGTCCCTCCCCCGCCAGGGGCGGCCACGGCCAGCTTCGCCGCCAGGGGCGCGTCCATGCCGCGGCCCAACTCGCGGTGGGGGAGAGCTCCCCCGGGTGCGGAACGGGGGCATTCCAAGGGTGTATGCCTTTTCCGTTCAACCATCGTTCTGTTCGAAAACCGGATCCGTTTCCCTGGGTTTCCAGGCGGTTTTCTAGAAAGCAGGATCCCTGGAAAGAATGCTTGGCCGTGCTCACGAGGGGGGCAGTCGTGATGGAAGTGAGTGGAGCAAGGGCCACGAAAACACACACAGAAGGCCAAGGCTGCTCCCCTGTTCAGCTGGGAAAAACATCACCTTTTTGGCCACTTTTTAGATTTGAGTGTTTGCTGGGTGGAGTGAAGCCCTGCCACACACACGCACACACAACGACTATTATCTTGTGAGCAAGTCCCCCGCAACCCATTGCAGGTCAGTCTCTACTCTTCTGAACATGACGGCTTTCAAGTTCCCCCCCAGAACCCCACTGTAAATTATGTCAGCCCGCGTGCAAAAGATCATTGACTCTTGCTGCCAAAACGGTTGCGCAGGTCCCTTGCGACATCACTATCCCGGTTCAATATATGGGCCTATCTTTCTTGTTACCTATTGGTTGGTGTTGTAGTAACGGAATACACTTAGGTGTCAAAAACTTCCGACAAAACTTAGACACGGGGGAAAAAAGTAAATTCAACACTTAGAAAAACGGTTCGGCCGACCAACACACTTAGAACAAAGAAGCTTGTTTCTACCAAAACGGTTGTGCAGGTTTCTTGCGACATCACTGTATCCGGTGTGTCTTTCTTGGTACCTTTTGGTTGGTGCTGAAGGGAAACAAAGACGCTTCCGGGCAAATGTCTATTTGGACCCAAGGGGCTGCGGATGTGGCCACAGAGCCCATCTTCACGCCGTGCAGGCAGGACAACTTGCCTGCGGCTTGCGGCGGCGCTGAGCGTTTCGGGGCGGAGCTGGGGGATGGGTCTGTCACTGTCACAAAAGGAAACAGCTTCTTGGTTTAAAGGTAAACCAAAAAGAAACTGCCCATGGGGCTTCGTCCATGTCTTATGAATCTTGAGGTTAACCTTTTGGGGTTTGTTTGAAGGAAGCCTGGAGGGAACCAGCTAGTTGAGGGATCCCTAAGGATGGTGGTGACGGGGGAGCCCTTCCGTCCCGGCGCACCCCCCGCCCGGCGACGCCCGCTCCGTGAGCGTCATATAGTGCCCACCCGTGAGGTGCCGCCATCTCACCAGGGCCGCAGGTGACAAGGCACCCCGGCTAGACGGCCGTGAGAAACCTGTCCAAACCCGGAGTATTCAGCAGTACGTATGCGTGCTCATTGGGCGGTTTTGGCATGTGTCCCCAAAGTAAGGATGCTTCGCGTACCCAGTTGCTTGCTTGCTTGCTTGCTTGCTTGCTTGCTTGCTTGCTTGCTTGCTTGCTTGCTTGCTTGCTTGCTTGCTTGCTTGCTTGCTTGCTTGCTTGCTTGCTTGCTTGCTTGCTTGCTTGCTTGCTTGCTTGCTTGCTTGCTTGCTTGCTTGCTTGCTTGCTTGCTTGCTTGCTTGCTTGCTTGCTTGCTTGCTTGCTTGCTTGCTTGCTTGCTTGCTCCCACCAATTAACATGGGTCCTGGAAGACCATTTTCCTTTCAAAGGGACCCCTGTCAGGTTACGTGTCAATTGGTGGGATACCTGAAAAGTTGCTCTCTCATTCAGCGGTCCCCGTCTCACCTGCCAGCGGCAGGTGTGCCAGCCATCCGGCCGCTTCATGGCCCAAACCCCACCTCGGCAGGTCGAACCCAATGGGTTTCGGGGACTCGCTAAAATTGTGGTTTTCCTTTTGCTAAAATTGTGGCGTTCCTTGTGGTTCCCTTTTGAAAACAGAAAACAAGCCAAGACAGATCCATGTACTGTCACTCGCAAAACTTATGTGCCTAGCAACTCTAGGGGACTTGCGATTAGTGTTAGTGGGCTTTTCCGCAAGCTTGCTGGTCACTTTCCGGACGAGCGAACCATGCAGGTGTTGTTTTGTTTCGGGGTGGAACCAGGGGCTTAAGGGTTAGCTTCTCTGAGGCTTTCTTGAACTGAAAACAGTCTCCCGCGTTGCCATGGCACGTGACAGGGGGGCCCTTCAAGAGGAAATGGATCTTCCAGGTACCCTCCCACAGGTAAATGTTAGGGGGAGGAAGGATTCCGTGTTCCCGAGTTTGACAAGTTGCTGTTTGGCCCAAGGAAAGAAGCCTTACGGTACGAACCCTTAGGATTTGTGTGCATAAAGCGGGATCAAGAGGTGAAACATGAGAGGTGCAGTGCTGTCCCTTCGGTTCTCCGACCAACGTTTGTTTGTTTTACTTTGGGTTCGAACAGCACGTGGGGGGGTCGGCGAGGATAGTAAGTGATTACATACCTGATTTATAACCCACAGAGAGCAGGGTGAAGCCCTCTTAAGGAGACTTGTGAGTGGGCTAAAGTTATTACCTAGCCTAGTAACCACGCTCCGCCACAAAACATAGGGTCCAGCACGCCAGCTCAAAACATACAAATGAGCTTGGCAACATTTAGCAACCAATATGCTGAGCTGCTCTCGTTTTACTCCTTCAAGTAAAGCTGGGTGTAATTGGAGGGGTCTCGACCACAAAACATCCCCTCCGCGGCAAGAGAGACTTTGGAATTCCCAAGGAGCCAATTGCGGAATTCCCAAAATTTCATGGACATAGCGGTAACATGCAAATACGAACAAAATCACAGCATTTCCAGTCGTTTCTATTCTGGGATGGATGCATATCAAAGGGACATGAGGCACTAGATCCGGGTTCATTCCCTCTTGCTGCGAGCAAACACAAAATTCCGAATCACCCGCTTTGTTTGGTTTCCTTTAGGCTCCTTTGAAAGCAATCCAAGGGGAACCATCAACAGGGCCCCCTCGGATTCCACAAATCCAAACGGAGGAGCCCAATGCCGCAAATCACAAGAAGGTTCCTCTGAAAATCAGCTACCCCTTTGGTGGTTTGCATTGGGGATGTGAACTGATGTGAACCCCAATTTCTTTTGAAATGGGGAAGGTGCCTCCTTTCCAAACCACCAAACCAAACTGGCTTTAGGGGGAAACAAAAAAACACTGATATTTTCGGGCTCTTCATGTGGAGCGCATGGCTCTCGTCAATGGCGCAAAGTCGCTAGAAATGTGTCGCCAATGGCACGCCAAGCCATCTCCTGCAAGGAACCATCTCCCATTGAGCTTGACAAACTGATATAAAACGGCCGGGGGCCGGGGCCCCTGCGTTTGTTCCACCGACCTCTTTTGTGGGCCCATAAAATCAGAAGACAAAAGGGAGGTCAAACAACTGGATGGGTTGGACACCTGGGTCCCACAAAGCAGATTGACTGGGATTCCACTGCCATCCCAGGTCACCGCTGCTCCAAGGCCCTGGCAAATCAAGGACCATGGCTGCGCTCCAAGCGCCAACTGGAATTAAGGCAAGGGAAAGCTGATCCTTCACTCGCATTTCCTTTCAAGCGGATTCACGAACTGCTCTTGCGCATTCGGATCCCAAAGGTGCAACTTGCAAGGAGCATAGATTCCTGGCTAGCTTGTGCCAAATACTGCCAATTGCCAGGTTCTGCAAATGGGTCGCGCAAAAAACACGCATCTCTACCTGGCATTCCGATTGGAAAAACACACATTGCGCCAGGCAAATGCCTTCATGTTCATACGTAGGCCCCCCCTGCCACTCGCTGTGACACCCGCTGTGGGCTGTCTTGAGCCAGCTACGCGGTGAGATGCGCCAAGTGGTCCAGAACGCTGGGCAACAAAATGATGGCACAATTCCCGGAGGATGTGGGCAATAGATATGACTAAACCAAAATGGGGAAATTGAGCCATCTACTTTCACCCATACAGCGCGCTACACTGAGGTAGAAACACCACTTCAGATATCAAGCAGCTGGCGTGAATGAAGCTGCTTTCACATCATACGCACCATGAACAACTCCAGGCAAGGGCCAGATGTAAAGACTTCCAGCCAAGTAGCTCTCGATTCGCTGAGAATTGAGATTCATAGCGAGTGCCTTCAAAACTTCGCTATGGGCCCAACGCAGTCCAAAAACGGCCAAGTGGGAAAAATAGGGATCCACACTTTGCCCGAGAGACCTGAGACTACCAAAGGCTACCCTTTTGGGGCCGCGACTCAACACACGGGCGCTATTCTAATCAATAATGCCAAGACAAAAGACACCCGCTTTTTTCCAGACAGGTGTACCACAAGGTTGTGCAAAACAACACCACTCATGATGGGTAATATACATATATTCCTGCATCTATACATATATATATATACACACTGCATGGCTTAAAAAATGGCACCCTTCAACCGCAAGTGTAGAAAGAACAGAACATCTGCGGTCCTCTTGGTCCATAATTTCGTTGAACCACACCCGTATGTCTACGACGACAAATCAAGCTTCTGCGTCCCCATTCGGCAAACAAGTCATGCACTTGCATGGCGAGATGCCACCGCAGTTCGGAGGCAGGTCAAGTACCCGACCAACCCAGGAGGCACGTGGGACATGTGGAGGCGTCTTGCTAGCGATGCGAACGTGCTGAATCTTGCAGCAATTCAAAGCTGGAGTTCTTGGCCCCATCGTGCTGAAAGCCAAGGGTCAGGTAACCCGGTTTGGATTGGCGGATTGGGGGCATTCGAGCCCTGGCTTTTGAGGGATGGGCAAACCCCTCAAATCCAAACCACCAAACCATCAAATCCAAACCACCAAATAGAGAAGCGGTTCTTTGGCATGCGTCAAGATAGGGGGACCGACGGAAATGGTTCGTTTCCTTTACGTCCCCCCAGAAAAAAAAGGGGGCATCAGTGAACATGACTGGCTTCTTTTTGGGCTGCCTTTTAACCCGAGATAGAAAAAAACAGGAAAAACAAAAGGAAAAAAAATAAGAAAAAACAACGCATCCGCGCAACAGAATGCTGTTGAGGGCTCCGGAACAACGCCATGCCAGCCTAACATGGTGGTCCCAAGACTATGTTCATCAAGAAAACCCTTCTGACGGGCTTTCGAGGGAATCTACCGCAAAATCTGGGGCCATCATGTTGGTTCTGTTTCTGGGGCTTATCAAAGTCAGAGACTGGTTGGTGGTTTCCTTTTAACCCACCACTTGGGGACGACTTTCAGTTCTTGGATTGCGTTGGGCCCAGCCCCAAGCAACGCAACCAGGCGCCGGGCGTCCCATATAAACCGCACCTGGGTTGGTGCGCGAAGAATTCGGGTGCAAATCAACCATCCGTTTGGGTGCAGACTGTCTCATAAAACCCATCAAAAAGAACCAACTTTTGGGATAGACCACCCCTTAAAGGGTTCTATGTTCATTTGTGGGCAAAACGAGTGACGCCAACAAGGACATAAGAATGCCAAAGGGCAGAAATGTCACAGCGGGTTCACCAAGGGGAAACTGTTGAGTAAGCCTTCCTGGTGCCCCGAAAGGGCTATACCACCTGTTGAAGCCACAAGGCTCTTTGGGGATCAACAAACCAAGTGAAAACGACAAAGCTTGCTGGCTGGAGATCGCTGCAGCGTCGCGAAGAAAAAGAAACACCATAAGTTCCCGAGGAAGCCCGGGCGAGATCCCGGACAACCGCATAAATCAACCAACCAACCCCTTGCGCGCAAGCCATTTCGTTCTGTGCATGTATTCGCGCGTGTTTTGCTTCAGAGTGAGTGATGTCGGCGCAACGCACATGATGTGTGTATAGCTTGCATATATATATATAATTATTTACATATATATATATATATGTATGTATGTATGTATGTATGTATGTACGCGTGTATCTATATGAATATATATATATAGATTTGTGTGTGTATGTGTGCGAATAAAATTGTATATTATTGCACATATTTGGTGTTGTCGCAGAGCGTGAGTCTGAAATAAGAGCTCGTCACTAGCAAGGTCCCGCTACCCCAAACAAGATCGCCATAGCGCCTGATGCGACAGTCGCTACAAACGAAGTGACCAGCCGTCGCAAAAGCAACCAATCGAACCCATCAGCGTAGTCTTGCGAGTCAGCGTAAATGATACACGGACCGGTTCTCCAGATACCTGGGTGATGGCGAGCACTTCCCCCCGGTCCACTGACTGAAGCAGGCAGGCAGGGTGCTCTGGAAGGGTCATGCCCCAGTCAACGCGGCAGACTCGGGCGGCGGCGAAGTGAAGCTCGAAGCAAGGTGTGCCCTCCAACGTCGGCAGCAGGAAGCTGCGCTACTGCATTTGCCCGATGGCCTGCGCGTGATCCTGCTGGGCGAGACGCGCGCCCGGACAGTGAAGCAAGCGGCTCCCAATTTACCAATTCCAGATGTCGCCAAAAGCATTCATCTCGCAGTGTCCGCAGCACCTCGCCGGGCAGGGTTGTCAGCTCGCCAAGCAGCGCTCATTCCCCACAGCCCCCCTCTCCGACGGCCAAGGTGTCCTGCAATGAGCGTGACAAGGCAAGCCTTCAAGAGTCATGCAACCGTCAGTGTGGATAAGAGTGTGCTTTGCAAGGTTATTTTTCGCACGCACCCCCTGCCGCACGCCTGGACTTGCTACACTCTCGGTTCGCCGCTGCCTTCATGAAGGCGCTGCAGCGTGTCCGCGCCCCAGCTTGCTCGCTGCCTTAGCTAGATGCTTATGTGGGTCATATGCAGCATTGTCTTTGCTGCTTGAGCACCATCTTATGACTGCATTGGTCACAAGCTCGGCCAGGTCGTTTGTGAACTGCGCATGCTTCTGTGGAGCGCTGAAAGGATGTGCTGGGGCAAGGCCCTAAAACAGGGGTCCGAACTACATCGAGAAGCTGCCGAGAAGGGTCTTGGCCTAGGCGTCTAATTCGACTCACGACGCAAGTCCTTCTTGCGAAAAAGAAAGACAATGCGCACGTCCGCATTGAGCCGCGCGCAAGACGCAACGGAAATCTAAGCCGCGAAGCGCTCATCCAAGCTGCTGGCACTCTGTTGTCCGGGGAGCTGACTGCCTTGGTTGCGGGCAAGCGCTGCTGCCTAACAGGCTCTGCTTTCGGAGGTGAGTGCCCTTGTCTTGACGAGCTTCGTCCCCCAGGCGCCGCGCCACTTCGTTTATTTGTTCTCTCGCTCGCTCTTCATTGCTGTGTGGATAATCGCTTGGGCCACAGAAAGCAGCGAAGACACTGCGTCCCAAGTACCTCTCGCCTACTCAGGAACACGAGGGCTGTCGCTCCTGAGCAGCCATTTTTCAAGAAACAATCAGACTTGCTGCCCGTCCTCCCCAAATAATAACGTCACTACGTCGCTCTTCCAAGACACCACCGCCCGTGACTGGTGGCAAATCCAGGGCGGTGAGCGTTGAGGCTCAAGAAGCTGTAGTGGGCTTGACTTGTCTTGCGAATGCTGCGCCAGAGTTTCGGCTCCACTGTTGCAGACATGGCTTCGACAAGTCAATGTGGGCCAGTACACGAACAAGGCTTTGATCGCGCAGATCTTGATGAGCGAATTCTATATATCTACCCTGGGCGGCACAGGAAGCTTCCCCACCGCAACCGTTGAGGACACCATGCATGTTGTCTGCCACCCACACACCGCGTACGCACGAGAGGAATGAGATGGGACAGCACTCTGCCACAGTGGGTTGGTCAACCAGCAGAAGCCGCAAGGTGAGCAAAGATCGCCCACGCCTGGAGGGGCAAGGCTCGAAGTTCGACCGACGCTAGCCGCGCGGGGCACAAGCAGAATGTGGGCCAAGGGAGGTGACTCGATTTCAGTTCTCTCCTACCCCTGTTCACTCCTGTCCAGCTCTGCAACGGAACCGAGATTCTGACCGCTGCGATCCTCTCATACTCTTCATTTTTCGTGGCGTCATCAGCGGTTGACACTGTGCCATCCATGGGCAAGTACAAGGAATTCAGCCGTCTGGGGCGAATAAGTCGCTTGAGCCAAACTGGCTACGGACCACCCCTGCCAACCCCAAACACCACCCCAAAGAGCAAGAGCCTAATGTTGACCCCATATTCATCAACAATAGGGGGGTGTTCCCCTCCACAAGTGATGATTCCCCACTAAACCCAGGGACACCCCCCTATGAATGAACTGAGCTGATTAATATGGGGGTCAACATTAAATAGTTGCCAACCTGATTTCTATTATCATGATTTGCTTTTGTTCAATCCCCACAACAACCCCTTTCGAGTTCGGCATCCTCTGCCTCAAGCCACGCGCCTCGAAAGGCGGGTGCCGCGCAGCAGGGCCGGACGCCACGCCGGGGCGAACAAAAGCTCCAAAGAAATGCGAGAGTTGCGCAAAACTCCGGTCCGTTGCGAAGCCTGGGCCAAAGAAAAATCCTCCCAACAGCCAAGTGTTTTTTCCATGGATCAAGTGTGGGACATGATGCGCTGCAGAAATTGCACGGGCACTGTGGACGTCCGCTAACTGAAGCCAAACGGGGATCCAGCGTCTGGACAAGCACCGAAACATCGGGGGACGGTTTCCATGCAGCGACAGAAAAGGTCACGAACTGGAGGGTCCCTGATTTGAAACACCACCCCCCTCAAAATGAGAAGGCCTCGCTGGCAGAAGGCGCACGCCCCTTCCCCAGTGCTGGCAACTGCTGTATGGAACCGGGTAAGTCTGCCTCTAGGTAGAAAATGATGAACACCCAAAAACTATCAAGGCAACTGGGGAAAATGCTCGACTGAGGCTATTCAGATCCGAGCTTGTGGATCTCTCCCATTGCTCAGCGCCGCTTTTGCATCGACTCAAAGATAATCGTCGTCATCATCTTGGCCGACCTCAGTTAGCACAAACAAAGTGAATTTGCACGCAGGGCCCCGCGGCATTTGCACCCAGGTCACATGCTCCTTCAAATAAGCCTCAAAAGCATGTTCATAGCAGTCGCCAGAAGAAGGAAAAAACTGGTAATGATACTACCCGCCCACGGTAAAGGCGGGTTGCTAGTCAGGCAACCCAAAGGGTTTGATACCATCTGCGGTATCTGTCCACTCGCCATGCTCGCACCGAGCCTTGACCTGCAAGGACGAGGAGCCCGTTTCCCGTTTCCCGGTGGCTGCCTTCATGCGAATCAGGTTTGGGCAAACAGGACTCAGATTTCCGCTATTACACCCAACCAAAAGGAGACTCCCCTTGAAATTCGCCCAAGATATTTGAGTCGGAAGCTTTAGGGAAACTCTGGAAACCCTTCATGGTCCAAGCGAAGGAAATCCACAAGGCACGAACTGACCGAAGGAACTCCTTGCCCAAACCAGACCCAAGCTCCCCTCCACATGGGTCACTGTCTTGGCATTGGCAACCCCAAATTTCCTTAAAGAAAACTCCAGAAACTCAGGGTACACATGGGGGTGTCTTTATGTAGAGGGACCCACAAAACGGTGTTCCTTTTGGTTCTCCTTTTAAACCAGAACCAACTCAAAAAAGACACCCCCGCATGGGCGCCTGGCCATTTCGTGACATGTCTTCAGCAGATCCGCAAAGTTCCAACCCTTGGTGGTGATAGATACCCTGTCTGCACGCAATTTGCCCAGATCGGTTTACTGGTGGGCTTCACCTCAACCGCCCACTGTTGAAGGTCCAAGGAAGAAAAATCAGCTCCGAGCCTGCCTAAGCCCATCCTGTTCATGTTCACGGTCGCGGAGAACTTCTCTTCTTGTGATCCCCTCAAACGGATTTCCCGTATCACCGTGGCACTGTGATACACCATGCGCCACAACTGTGGATCTGTCAGTTGCCCAGTGGGCTGAAAAATCAGTGGAACCCTCCTTTGGCTGATCACTTTTCACTAGGGAACCCCAGCAAAAATTGGGAAGGCGCGTGGAATCGAAAGCTCAAACATGGGCTGCCCTCAGATCCCCCACTTTTAGCGGGTGAAATGGAAACTACCACTAAACACTCAGCGGCTAAAAAGCAAAGGAACCGGATGGCTGGGAGCCACCAAGAAAAGGGAACCAAGAAAGGTTGCAAACCCACCGAACCGAGCAGACAGCCTTACGAGACTCCACCCAAAAACGTTGAGACTCCACCAGCTGAGCGCCAGGCCCGCGAGCTTTGCCGCGGCCTCATCGCAGGTGTGTGGTTCGGGAAAGCACCAGAGGAAAAACACCCGCGGACTCGCATTCTCAAGGGTTCAGAAGAAAAGCGGCGGTCAGAAGGTTGGAACACGAGTCACAAGTACAACATTAGCTAGGTCCTCCAGTAGAGAGGTTAGAATAAGGGTAGCCGTTTTTTTTCTGTAGTCTACTTTAGGGGAACCCTCCCCCCAAAAAACGAAAAGGGTACAAGGGCACTACTGGGGGACCTAGTTAGTCACAAAAGCAAAAACCCAGAAGGTTTCTTTGACCAACTTTCTGCTCGCTTTGGACCAGCCATGGTGAGCTTGGGCATGAGTCAAATCCATCTCCCACTCGGGAAGTTTGGGTGTCCCATATGTCCCCCGAACGGGTGGTTTTAGACATCGGCGAGTTTCGTTTTGCCAGGATATTTTTTCAGAAAAAGCTACAGGATCTTGAGTGAGTCCGTGCGTGGCGACTGGTTTGACGCGTTTGTGAAGACGGGAACCTCGCAACTGCGGTGCACTGTCTCGTTGTCTCGCCACATGTCTGGTCTCTCACTCCAAAAGGTTTATGGGCGCCCCACAAGGACCTCATTGATGGGTCAATTTCAAGAAACCCCATCAACGTTCTACTTTTCAAAGGTTCAAGGAAACGTTGGAGCGGATGGACCGCGCCGGTATATTCTTAACCCCTCCCACAAACATACACAAACCCGTTTTGGAAGAGTGCTTTTTTGCTGCAACGGGGAGAGTGGGATACAACCGTTTTGGCCCAAAATCATGAAGAAACTGAAAGCTTCAACTAGTGAAACGGAGACTCTAGGTCGTATTTCCAGCTGGTTGGGCGGTGACTTTTTCTTTTTGGGGGGATGGTCGCCAAAAACATTGTGGCTTTCCTCTTGGACTCTTGGATTCCCTTTAAACCTAACCAAAAGCGGGTTCCCCTAAACGAAGACACACCCATTTACTGGCGGGCTCCACTTTTGGAGGTCCCAAAAAGGGAAAGTGCCCTAAAAGGCCACTAAAGGGCCATCCAGGGGTCGTTTCAGTTGCGTAGATGCACCCCAACATGGTGTGTTGCTTTCCTTTTGGCGTCCCTTTTCACCAACCAAAAAAAGGGGTTCGCTATACTTCTCCTTTGAACATCACCCAACTCAAAGCAAGCTCACCTTGAAAGGGACCAAATGATGTTTGAAGCCACCTTTTAGGGGGGGAAAAACAAATCCCTTTAAACCATCTCCTAAACAGATAATATATTTTAAATCCCCTTAACAAAAAGCCAAAGCCCCGTCCCCCAACAAACCCTCCGCCTGCCGCTCAAGGGCTCTGCTTCTGAGCCGCTTTCCTCAACCAACGAAGGTCGGGGACTGGAGTGCGTTCAACGGGTGGTTTTGGTTTGGGTTTCAGTTGGGGTCCCAAGTTCGATTGGATTCTCAGAATTGGCTTGCGGTTTGTTTCCCCCGCCAATTCAGCTCGGATCATTCAGCTCGCATATCAGTTGACCCACTCGAACTCGAGTTTTCAACCGGGCTGGTTCCGTTCTCGACTCTCCGGGGGCCCAACTTTCCCACTGCTGGGGGTGAATTCCAACCATTCTTCTCAACCATCGTTCGCCTCCACAGATCCGTGAGGATGGAAATGGAGAAGGTATCCTCCACTCCACATTCCTTAACCCGAGGATTCTGGAAGGATCCCTTGTGGAAATGGAAGGTACCGCTCCACTTCACAACTTGCAGCGGGTCAAAGCTCCAAAGGATAGATAAACCAACATCTGGATCCAGAATGTTTGCCTCTACCTCTCTACCACCAACCAAAACAGAGGCCCTCCCCCCCCAGTGTTCGGTTCCGCCTGCATCGGATACCTGGACCCCCACACTCTTTTTGTCTGCCCAAATCAAACACGACAGAGGGCCCCTTGGCCGAACTGACGGGGCCCAAGAACTCAAGCTTGGCAACATTGCTCCGGCTGTGTAGACTTCAAGACTTCTGTCTTCCCAAAAGCAGTTGCTCTCAGGGCCCGTCATCTCACGAGCCAAAGTGAGCGTCTTGCTGATGTGGACTCAGCTTTGTAAATGCGGCCAGCAATGCCTGCCTCGTGAACACGCCTGTTCCAACCACGCGGTCAGTAGTGCACACGGCCCAATAGACAAAAGGTAATCTTTTGGGGATCCTGACAAAAATGACTTTGAGACTAGCACAAAGGTCACATCCGGCCGAGTCGCTTGCATTGCACATGGAGCAGTGAGATTGCACTTGCAAAGGGCGCTATTTGGCCATGGGTCAAAACCCCGGTTAGCCCCCAGTGAAGATCCCAATCCAACCACTAAACTAGGTTCCAAAATGGGTGGTGCACATATCCCAACATGGTACCATTGATTTTGAGCCATGGCCATTTACCCCTCACATCGTAGGCTATCGTTTAGGCCACCCAGAGCCAATTTCACAGGCCCACCCGGAGCCTCCTCTTCCTCGCGAGCCGCGCAGGCCAAGCACAGGCTGGCAATCGCCATAGGCCTTGAAGCAACGTGGCAACAAACCCGGCGGATTTCGAGCCCAAATGGGCGTGGGTCCAAAAAAGGCACCCAAAATGGAACCCTGGAAAATGGACAAGTTGACTAAAACCTGCAGTTTTTTCTGGAGTTTTAGTTTTGACCCATACCCAAATCATGGTCATTTGAACTCCTCTTGCTTGAGGTCATGGTTTCGATTTTTGAATGCCCCTGCGAGAGCCTCGGAAAACATGTCAGGGATAACTTGCTAGGATTTCCTTACTAAAGTAGCTTCAAAGCGTGGCACAAAACCTGTTTGGATGCGGAGAAGGAACCTGATCTCCTCTGGCCAATGATTTCCCTATGCAAACAGTGGCGCCCCAATGCACCCCCCCTGTCTCGAAAAACACCCCCTCCCCAACAAAAACAAGTGTCCTTGCTTTTCCTGTTTAAGCCACCCCTCGTTTTGAGATACACCCGCTTAGGCGGGCCTTTTCTCCCTCTTGCTTGCTTGTGACATGGCATGGCCCTGGCTGGGCTTATAAAATTCCCCAGCCCAAAATTGATATGTTTCTCATTTTGCTCTTTGATTTTGTTTGGGGGGGCGGGCTTTGTGGGGTTGGTTTTCAGGGTAACCCAACGGGCACCGCTTTTTTTGTGGGGGGTTCCCTTTGTGACAAACCCAACCAAGCCTTCTGTGGATCAAGGGCTCGAGGGAAGCCACCCACAGGCCCAGGCTTAAGTTCCAAACCGAGACACACGCGCACAAAGGCTGAGCCATTTTTTGGAACTCTGGTGCGTGGGGTTGCTGATTCTGTACGGATGTATCGTAGCCTACGTTGCGGAGGCTCCAACAAGCGCATGTTTTTTTGTGCCAAATTCCCCGCAGAAGTTCGATGTGTTCCTTGCGTTCAGTCAAAAATTTCGGAAAGGTTGAGACAAATTGGTTCTTGACCCAGACAGAACTGGGTTGCCCTTCCCGAGTAAGCACTCGGTCACCTTTTGTAGGTGTAAGGCAACAGCCTCTCCGGGGCCTTTGGGGTCACACCAGCCATGGTGGGAGTGTCTTTTGTTGAAGGTACTCTCTTTTTTCTGGGCTGCCCTCAGATCCCCCGCTAAAAGTTTAACTTTTAGTGGGTTAAATGGAAACTACCACTAAACACAAAAAGGCTAAAAAGCTAAGGGATGGCTGGGCGCCACCAAGTTTAGTTGGCGTTCAGGAACACCCAGCCAGCTTAGGGGGTCCAACCTTAAACAAGACAGACCCATGTGAGATTTCAGGAAACCCCAACGGAAATGTCTTCGGATTCTCGACGCGCTGAGGGCAACCAAGGGCCTCGCAATGCCAGGGCCACCGCGGTGGCGCCTCAGAGCCCCAGATAAAAATAGGTCCAGTAGTGATGAATTCCTTTTAAGACCAACAAGGGGGGATGAAACAACTTAAGCAAGTGGAGGTAAAAGTGAGTTTTTTAAGCCTAACTTCGAGCATCTGTACCATCTCTGCTTGGTGCAATCCAGGATGTGCTACCGAGCTAGCACATCCTGGATTGAAGATTGAAGGATCTCAAACCACTTTTCTGAGAAGCTTCAACTCTGTACTTAGGGTCATCTTCTAAGTACAGATTTGAAGCTTCTCAGTATAATGGGTGTGTCTTTTTGGGACCCACAAAATGGTGGTTTCCTTTTAGTTTCCCTTTGAAAACACAAACAAGGTACCCTCAAGAAAAGACAGACCCATATTTCGCCAATATGCAAATGACATGTATGTGTACATAATCACAATATATATATATACACATGATACATATAAACCGCTCTCCAGTGTGTCCAGGTAGCTTCTGGAAATTGACGAAGGGAAGTCGTCCAGGGGTCAACACCCCACCCGTCGGCCGGTTTCAAAACAGAGGTAAAATGTACCCCCCGAAAGAGGGTGCCTTTTGGTTTCCCTTTAAACCACGGTGAAAAGGGCACCCTCAAACAAACACGTACCGACTTAGGTGTGAATTTTAGCAGGGGACCCTTTGGTGGACATCAACATTCGGTGGGGATTCATGTCCACCAACCACTTTTGAGGTGACCGCCTCATCAAAATGCATGGCCAGTTGTTAGAAACCCAAAATTGTCGTTTCCCGTTTGGTTTCCCTTTGAGGCAGCCCAAAGAGGGTAACCGGCTTGGGGAATTATCATATTGCCCAGAGGGCCGAGCAAGAGGGGAAGGCGTCTCAAAACGAGGGTTGTAGGATATGTTGAAAAGAGGTTCTATCGTGTTTCTCTTTGTTTGCTTGCTTTTTTTGAGACCGCGGGGGGGGGGGGGGGCAGCAAACGCCACCGCAGCTCCCAGGGTCCCAGGGTAGGGCCCCGCTCCGAAGCTCTGCCCCGCGAGGCGCAGCAGCTCCACGACCGCGTCGGCGCAGGCGGGCTGCTGATGCAGCGTCTCCTCCGATTGGCGCGCGAGGGGAGGGCCGGGGGGAGGCAACTAGGCGGAGGTCAGATCCGGAGGGGGCCAGGAACCCCAGGTGGTGGTGTTTTTTTTCTTGGACCCTCCAAAACAAAGAACGGCCAACTCAACCTCCGTTATTGCTTTTGCGTCCGGCAAGAAAAGTAGGAAATGCGGTTTCCTCTTGGTTTCCCTTGAAGACCAACCCACATTTGCCGGAATCTACCGCGGTTTGGTTGAGTTTGGTTGGTTTACTTGCAACACTCCGTGGCCCCATCCAAAAGTTATGAATCCCGAAATGGAACGTCGAACCCCCTCCCCTGATGCAAATAATCTGCAGTTCTCTGTTGACCAGCAACTCCCAGATTCCATTAGATCCCAGATCACACACTGAGGAAAAGGTCTTGCCGGCGTTGAAATCCTATTTGGAGAGCATCTTGCCGGCGAGTCCAAGCAAGTTCCCACAGTCGAACATCCAGCCGGGCGGAAGGCCTGTGCGATCATGGTACTTTCTTTCTTCACATGTGTCCTCCGACTCACATGGTATGGTTGGTACAGAGTTGAAAGAAGGAATCGGTGAAATGCCAAGGATGTGGAGCAGCTGCCAAACAGGCCAGCTTCCTGGCTTGTTGCTTGTCAACTCAACTGGCTTGCTCTGCTCGCCTCTCGGTGGGGTAAAGGAGAATTGGTGGGGCCAAAAGACGGTAAGAATCCTGCGCATTGGTTGGCGTCATCTCGAAGGTGGTCACTCGGCAAGGGCCAGGGCTACCGCGATGTTGCAAGGGTTTTTGGGGTCCTAGATCCCATCTCTTCGGATAGCCCCCAGTCCATGGGCGATGTTCTCTAACTCTCCAAGAGCTGTCTGGCCAATTATTTCACATCTAAGCCACCCCCGAAGTGGCAGGTTCAAGAGAAGCAACCCAACCATTTCTGACCTTAACCCCCAGTTCTGGCCGCAGAAAGCGGCAACCAGCCGGCCAAGCGCCCGGATGTCCTCCATGGTGGTGAGCCCGAACAGGGGCACCTCCCGGCCAAAAAGGCAGCCTCACTCTAAACACCCCAGAGGAAATGGAAAATCACAATACAGATATAAATATATACATGTATTGTTGCGTACATGTCTGACAAATATTCCCGGGATCCACAGTACAAATATACACGTACAAAAACACATGTGTATATATATATATAGGTAAACGGTTCGATGCAAACTAGAGCCAGCAAACCCCGATGTGCAACCCAATTCACCTACAACCGGCCATCCCACAGAAAAAAGGCCACTGCGAGAAGAGCACATCTGACAGCATGAAGAGGACACCTCACCCGGCCCATCCCTGGCGCCTCGGACTGGCACAGGCCCCCGCAGCGGAAAGTCACCTGCCGAAGATTTTGATGAGGACCCGGGGTGTTCGAACCTATCCATGCGCGTTGCGCAAAAACGCAACTCAAGCACTTTCACAGAAAATTCATATAGGGATTGAAGTTTCAAACGTCCAAACTGCTTGCAAACGCCACTGAAACGGTCTTCTCAAAAAGAAATCAAGCCCAGAAACTGGGAAATCGATGATTACATGGAATGCAAACACTGTGTGCCGAAGGCTTTACGTCTAAAGTTTAGAACCCATAGAACCCATCAAACAAATCGCTGGCTTGCGTCTTACTTGGCTTCCCTTGGTCTTGGAAGCAAGGGTACGGAGTCAAAAGATTGTTCAGGGGGGCCAACCAAACTACGGACGCACTTGGCCTGGATTAAACAGTTCCACGTTTTTGAGTTTGTTTGCAGCGGTGACAAAATACGAACCAACATGACACTAGCTTGGAGCTGTCCTTTTCCCCCAGTTTTGATGCATTTCCGCAGCCTATGACTATCGAACACACACACACACACACATCCAACCCCGTGCGACCCTGAAAATGCATGCCAGCAACTCATTTCCCAGCCATGTTCAAAAAGAGGTATCCAGGAAAAAAAAGGAAGGAATCACAGCAGTCTTAGGGCCTCGACTCCAAAGTCATAAAACAGCAATGCATGTGGCTTTGTTTTTTGATGACCTGCAGCGTGTAGAGAGAAAGGGAAACGAGGCCTCCGGCCCGCACCAAAGTGCCCTTTGAGAAGTAAGACGGGTGGTATCTCCCACAGCAACCCCAGAACCCAGAGCTACTCAAAATCTCCGGAGCCTGGGCAAAGACCCCAAAGACAATTCTGCGGCGATTGAATCTTCCCAACAAGAGGGAAGCGTGTGGACTACCAGGGCGACCCTCCCGGCCAAGAAACAACCCACCAGCGGGTTCCTTTCAAAGTCCTTACCCGACTTACCGCCAGGTTCCATGCTCGTGGACAGGATTGGCCCGTCCAAACCAGCGCAAGCTCTTGGTTTCGGTCTGGCCGAGTGGGAGGATACAAGGCATGCCGGCTGCGGAACAGGATCCGACCTGTTCACCCCCCTCTTCAAGAGGATTGCTATACCTCGAGATTCAAAGAAGAAAGGATATCTGCAGGGGAATGGACCAGGGCCACGGAGAAGGGGACTGGGGGAACTAGAAAAACTAGAGCCAAAGACTTCAGCTGAAAGGCGACATAACACCATGATAGAACTATCTTCATGGACCGAACAAACATCGAATTTTGCGCTGGCGCGCGAACCTACGAACATGGCCTTCTTGCTGGACCCCGAAAAATGGTGGTGCGCCTCTTGTTTTTTTCTTGAAACCCTAAAGAAGGCACTCTCAAAGAACACCAACCCATGCGCCGGCGGTTGTCGATTCTTCTTCGCCGCGCGGGCCAGGTGGACACGTGCGGCTCAAGCAAGGTCGGCAGCCACTTTGGGCCTCGCAGACGCGTTGGTTGGGTTGCCCAGCAGCTGGAAGCTATGGGGTCGCCCAGACAAGCTTTGAAGTGGTCCGGAGCAATGAACACCGATGTTCTCAAAGGAATATCCTTGGGCTGAGCAGCCGCATGGGCTCCTTTGGTCAACAGCAAGATGGCTATAGTAGGGGTGCCGAACGAAATGCAATTTGCTGTCATCACTGTCACCGACCGTGGTTACTGAAAGCACGCAGCCTCTCCTGAGCGCCGAAGCCAGGGACACTTTTTGCGGGAGGTGTTTGAAAGAAACCGGCATGAAACTGTTGCCTTGGCCCACATCTCGGGTCCTCCAAGAAGCTTCTGCTTCATACTATTCAACCTCTTGCCCAAACAAGTTGGAAAAACGGTGAACCGGGGAAATGAAAAGGTCAAAAAGGTCGGGTCATCCGCCTTGCTCCTCAGTGCTGGAAGCGGTCAAACTTCCATTTGGATAATAGGGATCTTCCCAAACCCCATCCCCAATGCAAACTCCATGCCCTCTAGCTGCCCTGCCACCAAGCCAAGACCGGGAATGAGTCCCTAGCTCTCAACTCCCAGACCCAGTCCCGCCCAGCGCACACCAGCCACTTCTGCAGCGACAGGCCACGACCCAGCTAGTCAGCCCAGCAGCAGGCTCATTCACCGCAAGGCAACATTTCTTCCACAACCGCCATGCTAGCTTTGGTGCAGAACGCAGTTGCCATCACCAGTCGCAGCCCAACCCCAGCCCCAGTCAGCCCCAGCTAGCATCCGCGGCTCAACTTTCTCCGATCTTGGTCAGCCTCAAGCTCATGAGCCCGTCATGCCCCGTCCAGCTCATTGCAGCCACCTTGTTGGCCGGCCCCTGGCGCTCGAGTTCAAGTTCTGGCAGTCACTTTGCGCTTACAATTAAAAACAGCTTTGCAGGAGACCGCAGGCTTTGAAGGAAGTTGCATTTCTTTCCAACGCCAGCCTGTGACCTGCATCTGGCCCTGCCAGAAACCAGGCAGTCAACATCAATCAGGAAGCGGGGCTTGCATACCATCGGCACCAGCACCCGCCGGCTGAGTAGGCAGAAAGACGCCTCTCACATCCACCATGCAACCGACTGCTGAAAGCTATAGAGACCCAGAGGCATTGTGAGGGAGACAGCCTGCATCAGAACTGCCGAGTCCCACAGTGACTGCAGGGCACAAACCAATGCATCAGGTAGAACATCCCAAAACTTGCAGAAGCAAAAGCGTGAAGCGGACGAGTCATCTCAGGAAATACACATCGCATGGACAGCAAGCGGAGGAACAGCCCACAGCACCTCAACTAGAAAGGCGTTCAGAAGAAGGAAGCTGCCCAAAGGCCAGAGAATCTTTCACGGGTACCACGCACTGAAATGGCAGCGTCACCAAGCAGAAGAGCGGGTTCACAAGAGGTTGAAGACGGAGCTGCCAGCCATCACAGCTTTATGGACGCTGGAGGCTAGCCCCAGCCCAGCCCCGAGGGAACCCTTGGGGCCACCTTTGTACGACCAAGGGTTCTTCCCAAGACCCCGTCATGTGGAAGCTTGGTCCGAGTTTGTTCCTTCCAGAAATGGTTGGACATTGTTCGGAACCCTGACCCCGGTAAGAACCATGTCTTGTTGGGATTGATGACTGTTCGACGGAAACCCGGCAAACGAGTTAGCCGTTTTCAGCTTCGGACCCCTGAAACATCTGAGCTTCTATTTAGTTCCTTACGTACATTCTAGTAATTCTTGCATATACATAATATGCATGCTCAAACTATTGCGTTCCTTTCATAAATTCCAAATATTGAATTCACTTGCTCCAAAATGGGGGACCCCATCCAGGTGGTTTGTTTCCTCTTGGCTTCCCATTAAAAACAAATCCGATTCCTATTTGCGAACCCAGGTGCCCATCACCTAAGCCACGCTTTCCGTCGCATTCCTGGGAACCCGGGCAGTGCCTCTCCGCCAGCAGCGGGTGCGCGTCCAGATCTCCGAGGCCAGGCTCCAGCCTCCATGTCTTCACAACCCTTGTGGTGGTAGCGACAAAACTCGTGTTTTTTTGCAGCCCAGTTAGTAAAACATGAACAAACACCGAGAAAAAAAAGACAAGAAGAAAAAGAAAAACATGGCCCCTTGTCATGGTTACTAAACCGTGAAAAAAAGAGAACACCCCCCCCCAAAAAAAACGGCTAAGAACAGTGAAGATGTGGCTATGTCCTTTTTGTAGGCGTTGGACCCCTCAAAATTGTGAAGTGTTCCTTTTGGTGTCCGTTGAAAAGTCACACAAAAGGGGTAGCCTTCGAAAAAGACCAGCCACCAACGTGATACTTTTGATGCCAACTCAATATTGCAAGGGATCAAGGAAACCACTCATCTACCGTAATCTTCCCATCCTGTGGTTCAGCGTTGGGTCACTTAAGGGCCCCTTGGAAGTGATACACTTGTCCCCCCCGGTTAACTGTGTATCAGCTTCCCTCGAAATGTTGGCTTGGAGGGCTTCTTGGGGGGGCGGGGGGGGTCCCGTTTGGAAGAGAAGGTTTAAAAAGCCCAAACCAAGCACCAATCCAAGCCACCAAGTAAGGGGTACCTGCACCACTGGGCCCTAAACAAATTGGAACGGAGTTCCCCAAAACCAAAAGTCGTCAAAAAGGGAATGGTTTCTTTGTGTGAGGGGTCATGGACTTGCTGCTCCGATCGGTAGGGGAACCTCTCCACTGAACCGACTTGCAAGAGCCATGGGAAGGTTTTAGCCCCTGATTCATGGACCTCCAAGAGGGGCTATGGGGAGTGGGAACCTCCATAGTAAGTGGATTCCCAAAACAAGCCCCAAAAATAAAAAAGGTGTCCCTCAAAAACCGACGCACCCTCCCTCAACCCCAGCTTGCCTGCATCCTTCATGAAGCACCTCGCCCACTTGGCAGATGTGGGGTGGCAGCAGCTCCCCAGAATCCCTCAGCGAGCGGAATTGGAACTTCTTCCAGATCATTTGGCTGTGGGTCAAAACCGATGGGATCCCATTTTGGGGTCGGTGAATTCACCACCCATTTTAGAACCTATTTTGGTGGTTGGATTGGGATGTTCACTGGGGGTACGATTTGGGTTTTGACCTATGGCCGTTTTGATGTTGACCCCTCATTAATACAAAACCCAGTATCAATGAGGGGGTCCCCGCGGAAGGAGAAGGGAACACCTCTTAAAAAGGGACCCTTTGATGAACAACTGGGAGGCTTGCCAATCAGGGGTCGGCAGAACTGTTCCAACTGTTGGGCGACCCGAAACGGGTTCTAGCACATAGGTTCCTCCTTTCGGATGCTGCACATGGTTGTCCTGTGCAAGCGGCTAAGCGATCGGAATCCGTTGATTAGAACCATGCCCAACGCCCGCAACAAGGGAACTCATAAACATATTGGTGACCCTTTGGCAGACATCATTTGCATTAGGATTTCTGCCCACCACCCAACTACCTTGCCCTTTCAGGAAATGACTCCAAACTAAATGCAGCTGGAAAATTGGCAAAATGGGGAAGGTGTGTGTGTGTGTGTTCTTTTGAGGGTACCCTTTTTGGGTGGTTGTTGAGGGGAAGCAAAAACACACACACACACACACAAAGAAAGAAACAAACAAACAAACAAACAAACAAACAAACAAACACACACACACACACACACACACATAGTTGGGCAGGTAGGGGTCTGGTTGTCCGGTACATCCACCAAACTCTCGTGCCGGTGAGCTGAGAAGATCTGAGCCTCGCGCCACTCTGACAAGCTCCGCCAACGGAGGTCATCCGAGCCCACTAGCTCCTGTCAAGCACACCTTTCCTTTGCACCTTGTGAAAATAGCATGCCGAAAAGCGTCGGGTTTGATTTCTGGGTTTCTCCTTCACCCAAAGTATTGGGGCATGATGTTGGTTCTGTCTCTGGGGGTCAAAGTCAGAAACTTAAAGCAACCACAACCACCCACAAAACCAGGGGAAGTTGCGACAAACGAGGGAAGTATCTTGCTCCCCTACTTGCTCTATGTGGGGTATGCATAGCATCTCAAGTTGATTGCTTAACGGTCGAGCCGAGCAAAGATTTAGGAGTCAGACCCCAACAAACCCCCGGTTTAATCAACCAGGGGTTTCCTAATCCAGAGCTCCCAGTAGTTGATTTTAAAGGGATCATAATCATGAAACCTATCATTTACAATTCCTGCAAAAATGGAAGAAGGGTCGTTTTTAGTAGCTAGTTTTTGAAGGGATCTCCCCTCACAAAAAGGAAGGTCTTCTTCGGTAGCTGATTTTAAAGGGACCCCCATTCAAAAAAAATGTCGCGTTTGGTAGCTGACCTGAAGGGACCCCCCCCTTTCCTTTAAATGGGAAAGTCGTTTTTGGTAGTTGATGTTCAAGGGAACCCTCCTGAAAAACAAAAAAGAAGCAACCCACAGGGAGTCGAGGGGGTACGCAGGCCGAGTCCTGCACCAGCTCATGTTTCTCTGCCGTGATGGATTGCACGGCGACCTCCGATGCCATGCCGCGGGAAATCTTGTGTGGGGGAAACTGGGAGCTTCTCAACTTTGCGAGTCCTGTGTGGCTTGCTATTCTGGGCTGTCCTCAGATCCCCCGCTAACAGTTTAACTTTTAATGAGTTAAATGGAAACCCCCGCTAAACACTACAAGGCTAAAAAGCTAAGGGGATGGCTGGGAACCGCCAAGGATTTAGAGGGAAGCCAAAAGGAGTTCATCATTTTAGGGGACGATTTTGAGACATGTCAATGGCCCTTGCGGTCTTGCAGTCGTTGGAGGGCCAATTCTCGCCAAGATCAAAGTCTTATCCATCGCAACCTGCACAAATGAGATGCCGGGCCACAAATGAGATGGTGGGGAACCCCCCCCGGCCAGCAACCCAAAAAGGGTTCGTAGAACCTTCTGATCGAAAGGTTCTGAGAACCATTCTTGTAGGTGCGTTCCCTCCAATTTTCGCAAGATAAAGTGTCCAATAGGGGTACTCCCATAAATGGTGGCTTTCCGTTTGGCACTCCTTTGAACAACCAACCTTACGATTTTCAAAGGGTGCTCCTCAAAAAACAGTATGTGGGAAAAGTGCGGCGCGCTTCTGGCAGTCCGACTTGTCCGTTAGAGAAATATAGGTACTCACCGTCCTTGAAGCTGCCTATGTTTCCAGCAAAGAGTAAGAAAGATAAAGCCGAGAAAGCTCGAGCAAATACAACTGCGATCGGACCACAGCAATCGCAGCTGCGAGCACAACACCCGCAATAACCAGGCGTCTCAAATAGGCAACCACATAAAACCACGACAACCACAACCACATCCACACTGTTTAAGAGGGTTCACACAAAGGCTGAGCCACTGCCCAGCAAAATGAGGTATACAACCGCTATGTAGACGGTATACAACCGCTATGTAGACACCATAATATATACCTTCACGGTAGTGGCTCGTAGTGGACACGTTGGACACTAAAGCCCCAGCCCAAACTGACAGCCACAGTGGCATCTGTCGATTCGGGTCGGGGCACCAAGCGCCCCTCGTTTCGCCAGCGCAGGGTGCTTTGCCGCGGCAAGGGCCGCGCAAAGTGGGAGGACCACATGTCCTACAACCAATCTGAGTGCGCGGTTGGCTTCCCTTTAAAACAAGCTGCAGAGGGAACCTACAAGATACACCCACACATACAAATCACATCTCATCTCCCTTGAATGATAGTGGCAGCCAGGAAGGAAATCAACCTTCTGGTGGGCTCCGCAGTTTTCGCCCACACAGATACTGATAAAATAATGGGACAAAAAACAAGGAATCTGGTTGCAAAAAAAGCGGATTTCTCTTTCGCCCGCAGAGCTTGCAAAACGCTCAACATGGATGGTGGCGAAAGGAATTCAGGCACCCCTTCATAGAAGGAACCTTCATCATGAACCACAAGCCACAAGCCTTTGCGAGGTCGCTGTGATGTCCCCAGATTCATCAACAGAGAGAACAGCTGGAAAGAGGACTTCTGTGATGCCTACCCAGAGGGTCCAAGTACCTCATATTTGCGGATTTGGAAGTTTGTGTTTGAAAAATGTCCTTTAACCAAATCAAGCGAACGTCTGGAGTGCTTGGAGCGTGGCTAGGAACCTCAGCCATTAAAGTGCAGGAACTTCTGGTGCCAAAAAAAACCATATGGGCATGTGTCAAAATAGGGCACCCCCAAAAAAAGTGCGGCTGTCCTTTCAGCTTTCCCCCTTCCACCAACCTGAAATAGGTACCCTCAACGCATGAGGCCCAGGAATTCCATGTCGAGGCCTCAAACTTATGCTGATCATCGAAGAGCGCCGCAGGAAAACCACCAAAGGGACCGGAAGGTTGAAGAAACCGGGCACATGTCGTGTTTGGCGGTGAGAAACTTGTGAAGAGTCAGTGAGCCAGTGAGTCAGTGAGTGAGGTTGATATGTGTTCTTCTTCTTGCCGGTCTCCGTCTGTGACATGTTTGCCTATCAGGCGAAGGGCCTTAGACGAGTCCTTCATTTCAACCGGGTAGGTTCCCAAGTATCATAGGGAGGTTTCTAGGTATGGCTCCATTATTTTACCACTATCAAAGTCATACCTTAAGTTGTAGAGTGAAGAGAAACAACTTTCAGTTTCTCACTTTGACAAGGTCCAGAAGCACTCAAATCATGACCCCAGCCGTTATCCGTCTGTGACTCTGGCGACGTCTCACCCCGGTCCATGGCAAAGAGCAGCGTACGCTCGCCGCGGCTCCGCTCCTCGCCCTTCAGGAAGGGCGTGAGACCAACTCATCTTGGTTGGAAGGACCTCTCTGCAAAAAGTGAGTCACTTTTTGTGGGTCCAATGGAAAATCCGACCTGTGCCCCAAAAAGTTAAAGTCCAGAAGAACCGAATAGCCATAAAGTCATAGCTGGAGCTTTGAGGAAGCCTGACTAGCTTAGCATTTGGCTTTCGCGGACGAGGGCTTTGGAGGGGCTGGAGCAGCTTTGGCGACAGCAACCCATCCCTCTCGCCCTGGGATGTTCACCCTCGGGCTGATGTTCCGAAACCCATGATTGATAGATAACATATGGCTGTGGGTCAAAACCAATGGTACCATTGTGGGGTAGTTGCACCACCCATTTCAGTCTTTTTCAGTGGGGACTGGGATGTTCACTGGCGGTACAAGATGTTGACCCATGCCCATATAGCTGCAACTGGGGGCGTGAACTCATTTTACGCCCAAGTTTCAGGCCTCTGAAAAGCAGTCATTAGTTCCGATTGGTGGCATCTGTGGTTGCCATGAACCGTCTCTCACTGATAGAAGCATGATCGCCCGTGCTTAACACCTGTTTTAACAGGTGAATCATGATCGAAACATGGAATCGAAGGAGACTACACACACAAGCGCACGCGAAAAGCAACGACCGTGGTTCTCTGGTCAAATCCAACCATCCCATCCATGTGCTGTCACTCACAAGATTCTCTCAGTGTCGGGAATCAAAAGCAGGCCTAGGCAAATGTGCAAAAACGTGAAGCCACTTGGCTCAGAGCGACATCTCTTCTCCCGCCCAACTCCAACTCCCGGATCCCTTTCTTCAACACCCACTTAATTTGTTGCAGCCCTACGCCCCCCGTGCCCCCAACCCCACCCCCCCCACCCCAAACCCATCGGCGTGCATCGAGTCTCCTGGATCAAATCCTCCGGCGCCGCCCCTGTGAAGTCAATCCCGGCCTCGGCGTTTGCCCCTTCCAAAAAAGAAGCCTTCTAGTCCTCACCTTGAGTGAACCTTGCAGGTGAAATAGAAGACCCCGAAAAGATCCCGGAAAGGCTGGATCGAATCATTGCCTCAAACCGGGGCGGGCTTGTTAAATGTTCTAAGAAGAGAAACTGGTTTCAACACATATCTGGGCGAATCATGTCATGAAATTGAACTCATGCTGCCTTCGTTGGGTAGTCCAAAGGTTTTGGCAACAGAGGCTTCGGCGAATCGTTTTACTTGCTTCGCCTAACGCTTTGACCCAGGAAGAGGCTCCTGGAAACGGTGATTGCACGTATCCCGCAAATGAATAACATTGACCCCAGATTAATGCAGTGGCTGATGAATCGGCGGTGTCCCTTTCAAGACCCTTTACGTTGAGAAACACCCAGGCGTTCAGTCCACGAGGCTTATGAATCTGGGGTCGACATTACCTCTTTCAGTTTGTCTTTCTTGAGGGTGGTTGTTAAAGCTATTTCTAGAAGCCACCTTTGTGAATTGAAGGCACATGCACGGGTTTCCTCGGACAGTTGGTGCCTTGCGCCAGAAAGCACAAGCAATCCTGACGTGGAAAATGCAGGGGGCGCCCCTCCAAATGGTCAGCACTCGTTCCACTCGAAAAAGGTCCCATAAAAAGCCCCAAGTGTGATGCGCAGCCCAAACATGATTTTGTTCAAAAACGGGGCCGGGGGTTCCTGTGCGTGACACATTCCCGCCGATGAAAATTGCCAAGCTAGCCATCCTCCAGAAGGTTGCCTGGTGGAAACTGCTTATGTGGGCCATGATCTTCTTTCTCTGTTCGAGCGATGCGGCACATTGGCCAAGGGCTGAACAAAGTGCCCAAAGGGGCGCACATCATCGGCCAACCTTGTCCGTAATGGCAAATACGGAACTGCTCATCCGAGCTCAAATCAGTAGATACGCTCGTCACTACTTGCATCCAACAGAGCGGAAGCCAGTTGCTAGTCTTGTCAATAATAGCATCCAGGCAGCAGTCATGGTCATGTTGTCTCTAGCAAGAACCCTTTTCATGGCCGTCTAAACTCACGAACACTTCACGACCATCCCCGCGAATCCCTCGCAAAAAAAAGAGAGACCGCGTTCGGTCCAGCGTCCGTCCAAGTGATCGGCGTCCTCGCCAGCTTGCACTTCCTCAAAGAGGCGGTGGTCCCACGGTCCCACACTCCGCTGCTGTGGCAAGGGCAAGATAAGCAACTAACACTGTGGGGGAGCACCCTGACAGAACTATGCAGAACTGCACCTCTAAACTCGCCAAGCAAAACTATCAGGAAACGGGAACAAGCTGCACCTGCACCCTACAGTATGGATTTGTTGTGGCACTCACTTCCTCTGCGTTTATAACCCTATTTGTCGTTCGGCTACAAAAATCGGAGTTTGATCAAGGTAGTTCAAACGGACATCAAAAGGTAAACCCGGCATTTGGTTGGGGGGGGGGGTTCTCCTATTTTGCCCATGCCCAAATGGAAGCACGGGCTATCCAACCAAAGGGGACACGTGGACACGGCCGAGTGGCACGAGATGGAAGGTCTGCTGGTTCGTCAGCCAGCCCTCCTGACATCAGCCGGGAGATGCAAGCTGTGAGTAATCAAAACCTGGTATTAAAACAGAGTCAGAAAACTCAAGTTGGGGGGTTGGTTGGGATTGCATGCTATATTTGTGTGTTGGCTGAGGTTTTCAGGTTTGTGTTTCTTAGTTTGTGCTTGTCGCGCTTGTGATTTCATGCATAAATTAGGTGGAATAGTGTCTACGAGTCTATGAGCCCTTGGGCCGCCCGCAGCTTTTTGTGCGCGAGCGGCGCGCGGCGAGCGGCGCCCGTTTTTCGGGAGCCATTGGACTGGATGTGGCGACAAAGCCAGCGACGTCTTTAGACCGTCACCGAAGCAGCGGTAGTGAATCGATCTACCCGAAGCAAAGGCGCATCGGGTCAAACCTAGGTGGCTGAAAAAAGCACCCATGCTAAAGAGTCAGAAGGGCCAGTCCCCCATGGGGCCGGAGAAGTGCCCCGAGCCACAATCTACCCATTCGCTTGCGATGCTGTTCGCTTTCCCGACGGATCCCACCCAGATGCCAGCATCCGCCAGTGGGAAGGGAAAGGGAATGTCTTTTTGTTGGTGGTACTCCTGTTTAGGAGTGTTTTGAAAATGCCAAAAGGAAGACGCACCCATTTTGGGGGTCCAAATCCTTAAAACAGATAAACAAACACCCAAAAGTTGCAACAAAAAGAAGAATAGAAAAGCTCGTCGGAAGCCTTCGGTCTGTCCAGACCTGGGTATGTGTCAAACCCCATGGCGGTTGCTTTCCCTTGAACAGCTGAAAAGTCACCTGTCTCTAGACTCCTCCCCGAGCAGGAAATAAAATAAAATCCGAATTCAACACACATAAACCAAACCAAAACCACAGCGCTGAAAACGCACGCCAAAACACCACACATACTGCATCCCCCACCCAAACCCCCCGAACCGAACCGAACCGGTTCGCTCCCCGTAGAGCATGGATGCGAAGCGGTCCCCGGGCAGGCGACCCTGGGGCCCCAAGCCTCGGAAGATCGGAGCCAGCCCTTTGGACCCAGCTCTCGCTGCTGCGAGTACTGTGGACGAAATCCACTTCGCACCACATGAAAGCCATGCTTGAAACCATGGTTTATTGGTATTTACAGGGGAACATTGAATCATCATTCTATGGTTTCTCAGGTGATGCAGGATTTCGTCCATCCACAGTAGGGATGTGGAATGAACCAGAAGGGGATAGCTAGGGAATGTGGTTGAACGAACCCAAGGATTCCCGCATAGGAAACCATAGAGGATGTAGGGGTCATTCCATTTCTCATTCCGGTCATTCCATTTCTCATTCCCTGCCTATCGCACCAGCAAGTAAGGCCGTGAGTCGGAATTAAACCAGACCACAGTAAGTTTGACCCCTAAGGAACATTTGGGTGTGGGTCAAAAAGAGGGTAGCCCCAAAGCGGTCAACACGCTTTGGGGTGAGAGGGGGTCCCCTTTGGCTCGTGCGATTTCATGCCAGGTGCCCCTTCGAGGAACAGCATCTGTGTTCATCAACTAAATTTGCCATCTAATCTTTGTTGACGTGTCGTTCAACATGCGGGTATGTGTTTTTAAGGGTACCCCCCCCCAAAACAAAAAACAACAATGGTGGTTTTCCTTTTGGTTTGCCTTTAGAACCACCAACAGAAGGTGCCTTCAAAAAAGACACACCCGCTGTAGTCATGTTAGCCTGGGGTAGGCACCCCCCACTCCCATTTCTCCTCCCGCCTGTGCGCGCCTTTGCCCTGAACCGGCGCCGGTCTTCGCAGGGCAGCAGCTGCGGAGTGAACCAGCCCGGCTTCTCATCCTCCTCCATTGGCTTCCATTTGCTTCTCGTCCCCCGGAAAAGCACAGAAATGTTTCCAGTGATAGATTCCCTTTAAAACCAACAGGGCACAATAGAAGAAATATTCTTGAGCAAATGGAAGTTGGTCGTCTCAAAGTAGGAGTTGTTTACCTCCTAACATCGACGGGTGTCCCTTATACCAACCACAGCGGTCATAAGCCATTTTGAGAAACTCCGCATTCAAAGCCCTGAAAACCAAAACGTGAGGCATGGCACCAATAAATATAAACCCTGACGACAAAAAATGCAGGTTCTTTGGACCTTCTTTCGGCCGTCTTCAGGGGATGCAACCCGGCCATTTCCCCAGAGCTTGTGGTGGGACCCTACCGGGGAAAACCAGCCGAAAGAAGCTGGGCTTGAGGCGCCTCGAAATTCGAACGATTCTTTGCTTCCAAGAACGACTTCCAACGATTTATCTTCTACCCGGCCCCCCACCCTTGGAAATCCAAAAAAAAGCGCTCCAGGGCCTCCAGGGGTCGGGAAAAAGAAAAAACCATTGGGGGAAGTCAAAACACACATATGCCATGTTTCGCCCCCATCTACACCAAAGATGTGGGTTGAAAGCCCCCGCTTTTTCGTCTTCTTTGAATCGGTTGACGTCCTGCAAGGGCATCAGCACCTCGCGATAGGTGGCCTCGGAGTGGTCCTACTGTGGATGTTCTGAGACCTACTGCGCATGGCTTCGACATCCCTTTGCACCACCAAAAGCGACCACGGGTGAAACCATAAGGTTTGTCGGCATTTACCGGGGAATCCTCAGCAACTTCCCGCGGTTGGGCCAAACCAAGGTGCTGTTAAACAGTCCACGAAGCTCCCCAAAAAGTGACTTGTTCGTTGTTGTGTTTGTTTGTTACTGTTGTTTGTTTGTTTTGTTTCACCTCCTCGGCACCTCGGAATCCGCCAAGAGCGAAAGGAACACCCGACCAACTTCATGAGCTCCTTCCCCAGAGCTCGTGATCCGTTGGCCCGGATAGGCTGAGGGGGGCCCAGGACGGAGGACTGTACTACCTTTTTTTTTGGTGGAATGAACAGGGTTCCCCTTGTTGTTTCATCCGCCATGACCCATTTTTGGGGGTTGCCTTTTGGTCTGGTGGAAGAGGCTTCATGGTTCAAGGAGCCCTGCACCCGTTTCTGCATCCTTTCAGGGTTGTTCGACCCCCTGCATATAGTTGAAACTTGTTTCTGGTCAGTGTGGAAACTGGAATTGCCACAGCTAATGAGTTTTCGGACACCTCGTCTCATCCGCCCTCCCAAACGGGGGAGGGGTGGATGGTTTTTGAGATCACTCTATCTCGTCTTCCCAACAAAAGGGGGCATAGTTGCCAGATGATCCTCCGTAATCCGGACGAAACAAGTTGGAAACCAAGAACATCTGCCATAAGGATCTTGCGGATGGTTTTGAGCAACGTACCCAGAAATTGAATTTCAGGGTTCCTCCTCCACTTTGTCCTATTCAAGAGGACGGGGACTCGAGGTGCAAAGGGGCAACTGGGCCTTCTGAGTAGCCAGCCCCGCCAACCTGAATTCTGTTCAACGTCCTGCGCAAAGGAGAACAAAAACCACCTGGACTTCTTGTTTATCCACGAAGACTGTCTAAAAACGCTTTGATCTCCGGAAAATCTCCGGGAGCGTGTTGGAGGCTTGGCTTCGTGGGTCCCTTCAGCCATTCAGATGCCCCCAGAGCCGCAATCAAGACCTGGTACCAACCTGGCCTACCAACCACGTTCAAGACTAGGTCCTCCAGTAGAGAGGTTAAAATAAGGGCACCAACTGTTTTGCTGTGGTCTATTTTAGTAGGGGAACCCCCCCAAAAAAAAAAGAAAGGGTGAGAGGTCGGGCACCAATTGCTGGGGGACCTAGACTACGAAGGCGGCCGCACCGCTTCACGGGTCGCGGGAATCCAGCTGAGGGCCTCGCGCGGCCGGAGGCGGACAGCCGCTGCAGCGTGGAGTCCCGCCAGCGCTTGGACGCGGCGAGGCGCAGGAAGCCTCGCTTTGAAATTTGGGCGTTGGGGCTCTGGGGGGGAGATGGCTTGGGTCTTACTTTGAACTTGGTTGACGTTGGAAGGGGAGCAAGAATTTAGATTTTCAGCAGCTAAGTGGGGATTTCCCACTAAACCACAATAAGCACAAATGTAAGATGTTTCCCAACAACCATGAAGTTTGGGGGGGAAACAAGTCTTGGGAATACAAAGACCAACCCACAGTCATTAAGATGGCCTTGAAAAAGGTGCCATGTTGGGCTTGGTTCTGTTTAACTGCTTAAACCAGCCCCTGTTGCTTTCCTGAAGGACTCCGGCTGAAGATTGTCAACAAAACTTAAGCCGCACGGGTTGGCAACACCACAGGGACTCAGCCGACTGTACTGCTACTCCACTTTTTTCTGGAAACCACCCGGAAAGGTATGCCCCCAACTCCCCCCAAATCGCAACATCCTCCACCAAGAGGGAAACTGAGAGCAATCTGGAGGGGCCACCCACAATTGCAACAGTTGCCCCAGTTGCCCTGTGGCGGCAGAAAAAGAATCGGACACCTTGCTGGGGTCGACTGAAGTGTTGGGTCCCCAACCCCCAAACAACAATGGGAATAGGGCGTCTGACCAACTGAGTGCTTAAAAAAAACTGGGATCCCCTTCAAAGCCATCTAGAATTTACGGTAAACTAGATATGAAACAGAATCTGAACATATGGCTTTCTGCATACCCCGGTTTTACGGTCCCAAGTTGATGAACAGTTTCAGTTGGCCTTTTGCTCACAGAACAGCAACGGTGCGCAGCGGAACCATTTCCGCACCACGCAGCCCGGATTTCCGTGAGCCCGGATTTCCGTGAGCGTTTTGGCGCATGGCGCAGCTACGAACCAACCGCGTCTGCCCCATCTGCCCAGTCGGGTCCCCCGCCCAAAAACAGCTTGGTTGGGGGAAAAAGGAGGGCGACACCTTGGAGCCAAAAATAGCTCAACTTTTATTAGCCTTGTCTTGGCATATTGTGTGTGTGTGATTACTTGTCATGTTCAGGCTGCTCTAAAATGTAAAGTAATGTTGGAACGGATCCTCAGTTTTGTTTAGTACCCCCCGCAGGTTAAGCAGCTACCAAGCCCCATCTTCCTTTGGTCCCAAGCATTGCGGGGGAGGGGGGGTCCCCCCGCGCGAAACAGATGGCAAGACCGACTGAATAATTGGGGTAGTATGATTGGCTGAATAATTGCTAACATGTTGGTCCTACGACCTTCTGAATCCATAATCCCTGTTGGAAAACCGCTAGGGGAACCCGTTCGCAGCCAAAATAAAAAGTATGTTGCAGTTTGGTTTATAGTACGCCTTAAATTCCCCCCCCCCCCCCCCGGTTTCTTGCCCCACTCAGGTTTGTCTCAAAATTAGGGGATTCCCAAAATGGTTGGTTCCTTTTGTTCTCCCATTAAAACACACCATCGGCCCCCCCACTGAAAACCATAGACCCGCACCCGCCCAGCCCCAGTTGGGTGTGCCATTTTTTCTATGGTTTTCAACGGTTGAAGCCCGAAAAAACAAAAAAACACGACGCCTCCCGCATCGGTAAGACCCACAGGGCGCAAAAAAGCGAGGCGCGGTGCTGGTTGAGATGCGTGAGCCGCTCCCCCGTGAAGCCGCCGGACCCCAGGCGCCGCTCGAAGCCGCGCACGGGGCCTGTCGATGGGCGGCTTCGCTGGGCGGCTTTTCGGGTGGAGGGTTGAAACCCCGGCGGATTTTTTGCGATTTCCACGTCCATGGACCCCGATTGGGGGGTTGGGGGCAGCTTTCAGGGAGGGTTCCAGGTTAGGGGGTGCCGCAGCTGGGGAGACCACCTCTGATTTGGGATGAAGCTTGGCTTGGATTGCTTGAATGCTTCTCAGAAACCAGCTCCCTCCAATTTCGTGTTGGGTGGAACGAATGAGAATATATATCAAGTAAAACCAACAGGGGGAAATAGCACATCTTCTTTAGCAAATGGAAGGCTATAGGATGGTCTAAAGGAACTTTGCCGAATCGCTAATTTGTTGGTGGGGGGTTAGTCAAACTTTTTGCAGCTTAGTGACCCAGCAGTTTCTATGTTCCGCAAGCTCGGACCACCCATCCGACCCCCAAAGTGAAGGTTCCCTGAAAAAGCAGCACATTCGTCGAACATCAACAGAACTAGACTGATGAACTCACCGAAAATCACGTACCCCCAGAAAAGGAACTTTCGCCTTGGGCGCCAATTGACTTTGCGCAGTTGAATCCTTTCGTGTAGCAAAGCAGTCCCACGAGGTACGGATGAATCAGGACCGATTTAATCGAGACATCAACAAATGCAAAATATTCCCCGCAAAGGGGAACCAACCTGATTCATTCTTTTCAACCATCGTTCTTTCAACAACCAGTGGATTCCCCTGGTTGATAGAAAATTCTGGAACAAGCATCCCTGGACAGAATGGGGAAGCGACCCAAAAATGAGGGGAGGACCAGTTCGATGTTTGCTGGGCAGCTGCAGAGGAAATGGAGGGACTTTTCGAGGAGTCGGATGGCTTCCTACAAGTTACAAGACTTCAACTGGGAAGGAAGCAGAAGAGCTTGGGTTGTTCTCCCTTGCACTTGTAGACAGTCGCAGAAACAAGAAACCAACAAACCCAGGGTGGTGTTTATGCTAAGGAAAATGGAGCGTGCAATATAATCCCAATGAGAAGGGTGCATTAGAATTCAGCTTTCATCTAAGTGTGGATTGTGGTTTGCAGCAATCATGGCAGCCCTTTCGCGTGTACCTCGTCCAGTCTTGTTGCAATCCGCATTGGGCTGGTTCTGTGCCATGCTTTGCAAGGGATGCTGCATGCTGCCACTGCCATGGGCATGTGTCAAATCCAGTTGAAGCCTCTCGTGTGCTTTATGTTGGCCCAACCCCGGGTTGCAAGATGCAGATGTTCAGATTCTTTTCATATTCAGCTCTTCTGCCACCTTTATCGTTATAAAATACCAGGGCCGACCCCAGTTCTGTTGCGTCCAACTCGACACACAAAGCTTCGCATGGGTTTGCCTTTTTGATGTGATCTAGATCAGGACTATAAAGAGTTGTTCTAGTCCAGGCTGAAAGATTGGTCCGTAAAGAGCTTGGGAGGAGGTCGTGCTCGGGTCAAAGAACTAACTGGGTATGGGTCAAAACTAAACCACTAGGGGACCGTAGTCCCTTCCCTTTCCCAGGGCATCCCATTTTGATGTTTCACCAACACCCAACTGTTGGTTCCAAACGACTTGCCCCCCCCCCCCCCCGCCCCCAAAGAGGACAGGGGCCCAAATCTTGACACTTTAGGGGATGCTGCACATTCTTAACTGCATGGCCGATCTGCGCCGACGAGCACTCGCCACGAGCGAGAGCTACGCAGGTCCCAGCGGCGCGCGAAGACGCGGGAGATGAACTCTTGAGGCGTCTGGGAGATGGCGATCAGCTCACAGAGCATCTTGGCCCAGAGCACCTCGGCTCTGCTTTTCTCTAGTTCTTGAAAAATGGACTGATCTAGGCTTTGGTTCCAATTCCATTCTTTTCAACCATCCAGCCGTTTTCCCCCAGGGTTCTGGCGGTTTTGTAGAAAGAAGGATCCCTGGGTTCAGAATGGGGGAGGTACCCCTAGAACTGAGAAAGTTTGTGGATGCAGGGAAACCCGCAAGGAAGTGCTCCCCATGTTGTTCGATATTTTAGAGGTCACGTGATTTTGAGAAATTCCCATCTCGGCACATTGGGTTGTTCAAGATGGGGTCAAGCCCAATTTCCCGAATCCCACCACAAGAGAACCAACACCATGTGGCATATCGAACAACCCAACTCCGGACCACCAACATAGAACCTGACATTTCGGGGTCCTGGAAGACGACTTTATTGTACAAAGGGATTTTGTGGTGGATTCCATGTTGGCGGACAGGCGGGTGTTTTGCCAGAGCTCGGGATGAAAAACATGTTTCGCGATTGGTATAAAGACAAGAAGACGCAACCTGATCCAACCTTGGCCAACAAAAAAGGGATATACACAGAAACTCATCTCCCCAAACCTGCTTGATTTCCGTTTGGTTTGCATCAAGCCAACCTCCAAAAAGGGGGTCCCCAATTTTGAGACTGACATTTTGTTGTTTTTGTTGTTGTGGTTTACTGTAAATAATATTATTAAAATTAATCAAACTATACTTACTATAATGTGTGTATAATATGTGTTGTTTCCATGATATACATTCTCAAGTTTGTTATTTTTACAAACATAATATAATACGAAATATTCAAAATTCATACTTGAATTTATTCTGTTACTAAAAGAATATTTTAATAATGTTGTTATTGGTAAATAACCCCTACCTCCAAGACAGCCCCTCACACACACACACACACACACACACACACACACACACACACACACACACACACACACACACACACACACACACACACACACACACACACACACACACACACACACACACACACACACACACACACACACACACACACACACACACACACACACACACACACACACACACACACACACACACACACACACACACACACCGCCCCCCACTTAAAGGGGCATTGTACTTAGTAGGTGGGTAATAACCATGATTATAACCCACTTACCATGGATATAAGTCTCCTAAGTGAGTTATAACCAGGCTTACTAGCCACTTACTAAGTGCCTTCCCCCTTTCAGCATACCTTTGCTCAGGCGACTGCTCGCGCCTGCTGCGGGTTCATGTCAAAGAAGTGCAACGCCTTTGGCTTCAGCACCAGCCTCGGGATCCCCACCTTCCCAGGATCGTCTCCCGCTCCCTCCAAACAGAAGAACAATTGCTCTGGGTAAAGGCCAACAGTCAAGCAGGTAATCGAGGCAAAAAGGCCAAAAGTTGAATAGGTAACCCACAAAGGCAGAGAGGCAAAAAGTTGAAAAGCTAACCCACAAAGGCAAGAAGGCATAAAGGTAAACAGGCAACTCAAAAAGGCAAAGAGGCAAAACGGTAAACAGGTAATCCAACAAGGCAACGAGGCAAAAAGGTGAGCAGGTAATCCAAAAAGGCAAAGAGGCAAAAAGGCAAACACAAACAGGCAAAGAAGCAAAAAAGGTATAAGCGACTTGCGGCATTCGGTTAGCCAAAGCATATCCGTGAAACAGCAACACTGGTGGGTTCAATCGCTTGCCTAGCATATCCCTGGATCGACCACCGCACACACACACACACACCCGCACACGAGCACACACACACACACACACACACACACACACACGCACACACGCACACACGGCACACACACACACGCACACACGCACACACGCGCACACGGACGCACGCACACTCCTTTGACTCTCAGAATTATCATAATGTATGACCCCCCACGCAAAACAGCGGAGACCCCACTCTGCCGTCCACACTTCCTCAAACATGTCTCAAGGGAAATAGCTACGCGCCCATGGGGACGTGCCGAAGCCCTGGACATTCACACAGAACACTGAGAGCGTCCTACAAGCGGATTTTGCCCTTGCCCTGGTTGATTTTGCACCACCGCTGCCATGCTTCCGCTGTGCATTTTGGCGGAACAGTCGTGGCTTTTTGCCCGGCAAACCTTTGGAGTGCCGGGCATGGGATCTATGCACAAAGTCCCCAGCTGGGGACTAAGCCCAGGCAGGCCTGGTTCACTCATCGTTCTGCCAAACCCGAAATGCCGCTTAGAGGCAGAAAACGGTCTGGGAACCGCCCCCCCCAAAAAAAAAAAACAAAAACAAAAACAAGAGGTCATAGGTCACAGGCTCACCAATTTCACCGGCGCCAGCTGTGCTTGCATTCTACGAGCTACATCGTTTCCGCTATGGATGGCACCGGCCAGAAAGCCTGCAGGGGTGGGCTGGGCTGGAGCATGCCAACATGAGCATGGGTGCATCTTGATCTCATAGCACTGCACCTGTTTGGGCCGCCAGGGAAATTCCAAGGGAATTGAATGAGGACCCCCCCCTTCGGAGACAAACCCGTATCTTCTCAAAGATCAGTTCTCAGGCGGTATGCTCAGATCTTTGGCGGTGACTCTGGCTGCAAGTTACTTTCCTCAAAGGACCCCACCAATTCGCCCAGTCAAGTCCTCACACAGCGGCGTTTTTTTTGGCGACCGTGACTGATCATCGCAAAACTCCCACCTTCCCTAAAATGCTGCAGCCAAGCACCTAGTTACGCCAGTTACTCCCGAGAAAATCGCATGCCGCTCGCATCTAACGTAGCGTGACCGGCGATATGCCCTTAGCTGGCGCGCGCCTCCGTGCCTTTCTGAAGTCTCAGTGCCTGCCAGAAACACCTTGCCACCCAACGCGGGCAGCCGAAGATTGGGGTCGCCGTAGCGGGGGTGGTGCGACAACCGCTCCTGTGGGCACAGCGGGCACACAAAGCTTGGCGGATGCTGCTTCTACTGACTCATCGGCCAAACGGGGATCCCAACTGATTCCCAGCATGCTACGAGTACCTCCCGAGCCAAAAATCGAAAAACAACAACCACATCTAAAGCCTGCGGCACGGATCTCGTTTGGGACCACTTGCCATGAGGGCCAGGCAGGAAATGCATTGACCAGGTACCCCGCGGAAGACGCACGCGGTGTGCCAAACAATTCGCACTGCCTGGACCTTCCAATGGTTAGATCATGTTAGATGGGTCTCTAGGCATTTTCGTCTTCTAGTTGCTAAAACTCACTGCCAAGCTTGGCCGCCGTCCTCCGGCTCATCCGGGTGGTGGGTGAATTCGTCACCCTTCCAGTCATGCTCTGCGTAAAAGCAGACCTGCCCCGCCTCCTGGCAATTTGAAGCCACAAACGACAAGTGTTCAACCTCCACTTTGGTTGCAGCTTCGTATTGCCCGGCTCAGCTGGTCTTTGGCTGTTAACTTGTGGTAGCCGAATTCCAAGATTTGAAGGCTGCAGCCTCGCCTCAAGACAGTCTGTGGCAAAGGAGTGATTTGATGGCTGGCAGTCGGCATGTGATGTCCCCCCGTTCAAACGAACATTCGGCCGGTGGTTGCAGAGAAACCAACAGGAAACCAAGATATTATGTTAGGGGAGCCCTTTTCAAGGAGACGCGCTTTGGTGGCTGAGTTTAAGCAAAAAAAAACTGGCATTACCCAGTGACGAATCAAAAGTGCGCCTCACACCCATGAATTCCAGCCTAGTACTACCAGCTTGTTTGTCCAGATTCACAGTGACGGAACCTCTCAAAGCCACGCGCCGCTTCAGGCTTCGCTGACTGAAGACCCTCGCACCCCACGAGACTCAAGACCCGTCCTTGCCAAAGAGGCGCACGAACTGCTGCAGCACCCGCTCCTTCCGCTCCTCCTGGGCGGCCGCGATCTGTCGGATTCGGCGTCGCCGACTAGGCGGCACCTGGGTGAAGCTAAACCTCGACTTCTGCGGCCATGGCCGTACCACCTGGAATATGTCCAGCCAAAGACTGGTCAATCAGGTTCAAACAACACAAAACTCCACAAGCATCTTTGGAAACCTCCCAAACTGCTCGCATGTTTGGCCCCGATAAACAAATGCAAACCTCGTGAATGAAACAGGTCCAGTATCCCACCGAGGGGGCTCGGCATGGAATGCAGCTGGCCTCTGAGTCGACCCGACGAGTGAAGGCGGGGAGCACCATACCGTTCTACCGTGCCGTAAAGCTCGATCTGAGCCAAAAGAAACTCGGTTGCTTTCTGCTCCAATGCTAAAAGTTGATTTTTAGCGGTTTCATGGAAAACCCACTCATTAGTTGGGGCAAAAAGTTAAAGTCCTAACATCCAAGCAAAATGCACCTCTGAAAACCAGACCCTAAACTCTCTCCGAACCATAATGCGATTCAATGAACTCCGGCATTCGTCCAAGACCGAAATTGAGCATCATGTTTTCGTCCATAGGTCCTTGAGAGCAACACGAAAGCTCCCAGAGACACATTGTCCACGACGAGACCTCCATAGCCCGTCTTGGTTCACGCAACCGCAACTTTCCACCGACGGCGGTCCTTAGACAGTCGCTTCGACGGGTGATCTTCATCGATCCAGCCGAAAAGAGCGTGCCTCCGCATGCTGCCACCTGCAGCATTGTCGAGTGATCTCAGAAATTGGTGCCCCCCCCCAATAAACAAGACACATATCAAGAACCCAACCACTTTGAGAGTAAACCAAAGTGGCTTCAGACTTCACGGAAAGGTGTCCGAAAATGGGTTTCATGCTGGCTTTCATGTTTTGATGCTGCTTAGGTGTCGCGTTCGAATCTGCCAAGGGCACCGACTCAAAAAGACGGTGTTTTGGACCCCCGCGCATAGGTAGCAAGTTTCCATAAGGTGAATTTGATGATATTCGCCAAACAGCAAACACACAGCTGACTGTGGCTGGGCTCGAACCCTGCTGAACTTGACTGCAAAGGGATCGCCTGACCCCCCAAAGCCGAATTCAAAATCCGCAGTAGCACATGGAAATGCAAGCCACAACTAACCCCACGGTACGTGACGGTTCATCTTGACTGCTGCTCAAGTAGCTCATGTCTCAAACTGGAAAAACCTAAACAACCGCAACAGCTTCCCTGTTTTTGTTGCACCTTCAAGCGGGGGGTATCCCAAGAAGAAAATCATGCCCACTCCCATGCTGCAGCCTCATTTCAAGGGAATTTCCGGTATCCCCCAAGTAAAGCCTTAAGCCTCCTTTTGAAAGGGTCACGAAGGGGCAATTCTTGATCGCTGCGCCTTCGCTGCAGTGATCGTGGATCTGCTGACCTGGACAGGTGAAGCGCAAAAACTTCGTCATGACTCCCTTGGAAAACACCCAAAACATGGGAGCCACTTGCTCGTCTTCACGTGTGACGGAGAAGCAGCTGCAACTGGAGTCTGCCCTTCATTCCAGTCTTCACTTATTCCAAAATATGTATCAAGGGCTGATGTCGTGCGCCTCTGAGCGTGGTACTCCAATTCACCGGCAAACCACACCTGTTTTGTTGGCTTTATAGCAGCTATATACTACAAGGTGAAGTATAGGCTGTATAGCTTGGCTAGAGGACAAGAGTCCCTGAATACCAGTCATTGCATAGGCCAGCGCAGCGTTCGAGCTGGCAAAATCCCAGCTGTTTACTTCTACACGATGTGATGCCTAGTTCTCCAAGCCTTACGCTTTGTAACAACGTCGTTCTCATATTTTGCCAGGCAAAAGCAATCGGGGCAGTTGGCGCCAAGGCACACGGTCCTTGGTCGCTCACCGCAAAGCCGGACTGCTTCCGTTGTCGCCAAAAGGGCTCTGCGTCGCCCTCATAGCCCACAGCAACCTGCAACAAATTGATGCGCGTTGCTCAGAATAAGGGTACCCTGTTTTTCTGTAGTCTATTTGAGTAGGGGAACCTTCCCCAAAAAAAGGGCAAAGGGGCACTACTGGGGGACCTTGTTGAGCTACGAACACCATTCATGGTTGCCGGATTTTTGTGGTTTGTCCTCTTTCCAACCCGTTGTGCGGGGGATTCGAACATTCCCCCCCTGCTGGTCCTCCCCCCCAAAAAATCGTATAGACTCCCAGCATTGTCCGTCGCTGATGAGTAATGCATCTTTCATGAGGTCTGTCTTTAATCTTTGCCGTTATGCTCACCACTGCCACGTGAACATGTGAAAAGGTCGACTGGAATCCACTGGCTACAGAGACTTGTCTTCAAAGGGGGGAACCCGCAAACAAGTTGCTGCAAACAACCATGCGCAGGAACAGTCCCTCATTCATGGAAGGTACTTGTTCATCTGAAGTTCT